ATGTATGTTGATATACTTATTCCATGATAATTATATGTTTATCCTTTTGTGTGATGTAAATTAAATGCTGAATGGCGGTTCATGCAGGGAAAGAACATATCAATATTCGCATATTCATTCAAAAACATGAAAATTCTTAATGGAGTACCATCATTTCTTATTGAATTCCTAAAAAACAATATTTATAATGAATTTTAATAATTTTTTCGGATTTTTTTTAAGCTTTATTCTGACCGATTCACCCGATTCCCGATTCGGATCGGTTTTTTGGAAGCCCGATCCGGGTCACCGATCTGTTTTTTAAACCATCGGTCCACATTATCATGCAAAACAATCAAGAACAACAACAACAATTAAAGAACACAGAAAGCACAAAGTAGCTTTCTATATTTGAGATCTAGTTAAGAAACCATTTATGACAAAATTCTAGGGCTTTCAATACAACTATAAGCTCACAAAGACGTAAAAATTTGAAATATTAAGAAAAAAAGTTATTGGGTGAGCAAAAATATTTAACATTAAGAATGAACAAAAAAATTATGCAATATAAGCTGCATTATGCATTATCAAGTCCAATTTAGATGGGTGGGTCAATTAAATTAATGGTTTATGATGCAGCAACACCGTTAGAACTTTAAATCATATGAGCCAAGATAGCCACCACAAAGCTTCTTTAACTACAATGAAATAAAGAATGAGAAATCAGTAAAGAGGGAGAGAATTTGAAAAACCGATAGAGAAAAATGAAATAGAAAATGAAGGAAAGGAAATCCCGTATAAATAAGAAGAGGAAAATTATTCTTATCTCTATAAAAAAATATCTGGGATTTGATACGAGATTTGATTTGTGGAGAAACAAAGTTAGAGAGTGGAAGAGAGATGTGTGGACAAAGAGAGGGAGAGAGAGTTAGAGAGAGAGAGAGTGAGAAGGAGAGAGATTTTAGGAAAGTGTTTATACATTTTTATTTATCTCTATCTCTATTACTGCTCTCTCTTCCATGCATCAATTTTGGGAACTTTATCTTTCTCTTTTTATTTATCTCTCTATTTTATATCATTCTCTCACCAATTTTGGGAACTTTATCTCTCTCTTTTTATTTATCTCTCTCTATATCATTCTCATGATCTCCGGACATCAATTTTAAAAACCATTTATCTCGGTGTTGGGAAGAGAGAGAATGGATTTTTTCATTCGGAAGAAGCGATTTTAGGACGTGCCCAGAAATCTTATCTCTCTCTTTCTATTTATCTGGTGTTGGGAAGAGAGAGAGAATAGATTTTGGAAGACGGAGAGACTGAATTTTGACATTGAGAAGAGGCAATTTTAGGAACCTTATCTTGGAAAGAATGAGAGATAATAAATTTTGGGGTAGGGAAAAGGAAGGGAAAAAGAGATGATGGATTTAGAAACCTCACATTGTGAGAAGAGTGAGAGAGATTGGATTTTACGAACCTTAGATCATGCGAAGATGGAAAGAAAAAGGAGAAAGAGGCCAATCATGAAATAAAAAATGACACTTAACGTAAAAATGATTCAAAAATAGCAAGGGTGTTTTCTCTCACTTAATATAGGGGTTAGGAAGAGGAGGGATAGAGAGATAATAAATTAAAAACCTTAGATTTAGACTGTGGAAAGAGGAAGAGAGAGAAAATGAATATATGTGTTGAGAAGAGGGAGAGAGAGAATGGATTAAGTGGAGGACAGAGAGAATGGATTAAGAAGGGGAGAGAGACAATGAATTTAAGAACCTTAGATTGGTGTGGGAAGAGGGAGTGAAAGATTTTGGATTTTAAAAACGTTAGATTACGAGAAGAGGGAGAGAGAGAATGTAAAAAGAGGGCGATTATAGAATAAAAAAAGACATATGACATAAAAATAACGGGGGTGTTTTTTCTTTCAGAGTTGCAATCTTATATAAATATTCAATTATTAAACTTTGTTATATAAAAATAACGGGGGTGTTTTTTTTTTCAGAGTTGCAATCTTATATAAATATTCAATTATTAAACTTTGTTATCTAGTGAATCTATCATCTATCCACAATGGATATCGGATAGACTCATTAGTATAAAAACGGAAAATTTTCAACCCATTATAGCCGTTATATTAACGATATCCTTGGACCCTTCTGATATGTGGACAAAAGTATAAATTAACGTTTTAAATATTAAATTGTTCATCTTTGGAGCGTTGTGAGATAAAGTTCTCTTTCAATAATTCATCTTTGGAGTGTTGTGAGATAAATTTCTCTTTCAATAATTCATCTTTGGAGTGTTGTGAGATAAATTTCTCTTTTAGAATGCTTTTACTGCCTGATAAAAGTGAAGTGTTTTTGTTATGGTGCGGTTTGTATAAGGTCGACGCTCTAAACAATTACAGTAAAGCGTCGAGGTTCTAAACAATCAAAGTAAAGCATATTTTTAAATAGTATCGAGAAATGTGGTTTTAATAATGAAAATCTTTGTGATAGCCTTAAAATATATTTTTATCTCAAGTTATAAAGTTTAAAGCTTAAAAAATAATGTATATCGAGCAGATTTATGAAAACTTGAAAATTTTGAAAATTGACAATCAAAGAATGCATTATAGGATGCACTATTTTTAAAACTTGAAATTCATTTTTTTTTCATGCCGATGTATCTTAAGGTTGAGATGATCAATTTGACGATATTGAGACATCAAAACAACATCTTCTAGTGAAATTTATGAGGTATGCTTTAATTTAGGTGTTTAGACCCTCGGCTCTATATAAATTTTTACTGCCAACATTAATCAAATTGTTTGACGGGCAGCAGCTCTATCAAAAAAAAAAAAAAAAAGTAAAGACCTCACCTCATAACTCATTTGAAAATTGCAAGCATTAGAAAATCTTTACATCAATCATCCAACATTATGGCTGTACATAAAAAATAGGTTTTCAAGTTCTAAAAATATATATCATAACAAATTATCTAGACCATCCATTTTGCCCTACAAATAAGTGTTCATAGATTCTCATGATCTCTATCGTTTTTTTAGTTTCAAATTTCATTATCAATGTTGGAAATTGATTTTAGAGCGATGATAGATATTTCTATTGCCGAAAGCACTTTCTTAACGAGGAATTTAGATGAGGCTTTATTCTGTTTTCATTAAGTCTAAGCCTTATAGAAACTTCATCCATTGATTTTGACATTGATAATTTTCAAATATTGTACTTTGTTATCCTTTTCAAAATAGTAGGTGCAGACAGGGCTTGAGATTGCAGAGAGAAACTTTTAAAGAACTCTCTATATGTGGACTAAAACTCTCTACTAACCATGTTTCAAGGTTCCCACATGAGAATTTCACAATAAAAAGAACCTTTATAGTATTGTTTTCTCAGTTCAATTGTCTGTTTTCTCTGCTAATTTCAGTGCTCTTTTTAGCAGTAAATAATAACAGGAAGAAGTTTTGGATTCCTCTACTATAGTGGGTTTTGGGTGTTTCCCTCTACAGTGGGCTTATATTTGCTTTAGGACTTTCAGGCCTTGATTCCTGGGGTTTCAGACTGAAAACCATTGGTTATGATGCTCCTTTGGCTATTCCTTTTGAGATGTTGCATAACTGAATTAAGGATTTTGGAGAATATATTATATGGGTTTCTTGTTTTTTTCTTGGGTGGGTGTTGTAAAATGCCAGAGGGCCATGGCTCTGGCTCTGGCAGTGGTTTATGATTATCTTTGCAAATCCTAATAAATGAGCCAACCAATTAAAGATAAAAGATCTGTTTTTCTTTTTCTAATTTATTGGAGTGTCTTATTTATATGGCTAATATTCATGCACTGATAAAGGAAAACTAGATTTACCTATTGGAGTGGACATTTTCCAAATTAATTGTATTTTGTAGTCTCATATGTTTTAATAGGCTATATATTTGCACTGAGTAGAAAAAGAGAGAAATTCCTTGAATACTTATATATGATCTTGGGTTATTAAGAATCCATCTCTTCTCTCTGAACTGGAAAATGGTTGATATCTAGAATTTATATTTGTCTATATTAGTAACTTCTTCTTGTTTTCCCACTTTGTCTGTGTTAAGCATATTTTTATATGTTAGAAAGAATTTGAAGCTGAAAGTCAACAAAAAGCCATGGAACTTATGTTTCTTGTAGCTTTTCTCTTAATCTTAGCCGCTTTATATGTAGCCAAAGGAAAAAATTCAATTGTGAATCTTCCCCCTGGACCTCGGCCCTTGCCTTTCATCGGTAATTTCCACCTCCTGAAACGACCACATTATAGATCTCTGTCCGATCTTGCCAACCAATATGGCCCCATATTTAGCCTGCGACTTGGAATTAGACCAGTCGTAATTGTCTCTTCAGCTAGTCTTGCTCAAGAATGCTTCACCAAAAATGACATTACCTTTGCATCTAGGCCTCAATTGGCTTTTGGAAAATACCTTGGCTATAACTACATGTCAGTTGCTTGGGCTCCCTATGGTGCCCATTGGCGAAACTTGCGAAGGATTGAGACGCTTGAACTCCTGTCTTCAAGGAAAATTGAGATGTTTGCGTATATCCGACATGAGGAAGTGGCAGCATTGCTACAAAGTATTGTTGAAGCCTCAGATAGAGGAGAGGTGGTGAACTTGAAGGATAGTATCGAAGAGACCATGTTCAATGCCATTGTAAAGATGGTGGCTGATAAAAGTTACTATGGAAGTAGGGCTAAGGATCTACATGAAGCAAAGGCATTTATAGAAGTCATTAATGAGACATTCACATTGTCTGGCGTGTTGAACATTGGGGATTTTATTCCATGGCTTTCATGGTTGGGACTTAGGGGGATTAGACTTATGAAAGCATTGCATAGGAAGAGAGATAGGCTTATACAGCGCATTGTGGATGAGCATAGGAAGTTGAGGAGTGGGGATGGTCATGTTTTTAAACAAGATTTCATTCACATGTTGCTGGACATGCATGAAGAGGATCCCAACTATTTCACAGATGATCTGATCAAGAGTATAATCCAGGTATGTCTTGGACTTCACAGCAACCTTTTCTCATGAACTTTCACAAATATTTCTCATTTGAATGTAACAATTCCTATTCTCCTTAAAACCAATATATTTGCTGGCTGAGCATTGAAAATACTGTAGAGATTCATTGTGATAAGTGTTACATGGAGGCCAGACACATTATTGTCCAACATGTGTACAGGGGTGTGTTATATATATTAGTCCAAGAATTGTTGAACTGAAAATAGGGAAGTAGCATATAAACCTTAATAAAAGAGTACATGGATCTAAAATAAAGTCGTAAAACTGCTAGGAATATGATGACATATTTTTAAAGCAACTGCTAGGACTATGATGATATCTTTTTAAAGCTTTTCATGAGGACACTTCTGGGTTGCATTCGTCCTTTGAACATGATTGCTTCCTTGGTCCGGCTCCCACTGCTACTCTCATTCCTCTACCATGTAAAGGAGGACTTTGTTGCATGCTTGTGTCTTTGACAGGTCAACCACTTCATGGAGAACGTCATTGATATGCATATTCTACATCATTTCTTATGCTGAAATCATCTTTTGAGAAGCCTTTGGTTATCATACTAATTGCTGATTTGAGCACTGAAAGTATAGTCACCAAGGTGTTAAATTGGGACTGGTGCAGGATGTTGCTTATACCGGTTATGTGTTTATTTATATGCATCTGGGTGTGTTCTTTTGTGCTCTTCTGCTATTAGAGCTTATACCTGTTACAAGTCTTCCTCCTATAATCTGAAACATTATAGATGATTCAGTGAAGAGAATGAAATAAAAGTTTTTAATCATGCCCTTATGTTTCACGGCCTAGGCTATTCCCAATCGAAACTCCTGCCATTCTTGGTAGGCAACCTAGGTGAGCTGCAAACATAGAGAGGCATATGGAATTGTGGACATCTAATTACTCTTGTAAGGCCCCTTCAATCACTAAGTGAATCTTACTTTGTTTGGCCATTAGTTAGAACTTAGAACTTTGGATTCGCTTGTTCCATATTTTGATATGTTGGATCAGTGATTGAAATTCGGAGCCTCGGGATCAGACTCGCCCGAGTGACTCAAACCCAACAGGGTGCAGGATCCACCTCCAGAACCCTTGGACTCGCCCAAGTCGGACCAAGAAAGCGAGCCTTCTGTGTAATTTTCATGGAGACTCCGCCGAGTCAGATCGCTGACTTGGGCAAGTCAAACTACTGACTCAGGCTTGGGCCACTGGTGAGTCTGCACCCAAATCTAAGCTTTAAGTCTATGTTGGATTTTTCTAGTTTGTATTTTGAAGTTTCATGGATGACACACAGCATATGCTTTTTCCCATTGTTTATGTTGAAACAATATTTTAGCTAAGGCACCAATGAAACATCTCCTGCAGCTGTGGTGTGCCTTTTTTTCTTTTTTTTTTAAACTGGATACACGAATTTTTCGCAAAGGTTATTATCGTGCGGAGTTCTATAAGCCAATTGAGATCTTGGGACATCTCTTGCGAGACATTCGAAATCTTGGAAGAATTTTGAAATCTTGGTTTCCTGGGGAAAACTTGGTAAAAATTAGGAAATTTAAAATCTAAATTATAAAATCAAATTCACCTATAAGGTTTCAAGATTGAAGTTTTTACAAACTTCTATTATGTCTGTTTGTTAACATATTTTGTTTATTTTATTAAAAATACATAATGTTGTCTACACATTTGTAACTTGCTTTTTCTCTTGTAAAAAAACTGGGAAGATCTTGTAATACTCTTTTCTTAATACAATAGTCAACACTTTCCAAAAAAAACGACTGTGGGAGGAAAAAAGAAAATAAGGAACGAAATATCACAGTATTATGGAGAATTATAGTTTTCTATATGAAACATTTCTATACGAAAAGGAACAATACACTTCTTTCATCGATCATGAGATTTCAAAAATAAAACTGAAATGGAGATGTTTGTGACTAATTATGGCCGAAGTCCTCATTGGGCACAATGCATCCCCTCACCCCCCCCCCCCCATTTTTACCTGATTCTTCTCCAGGTCATGATCGTGGCAGGAACAGAGACCACAGCTGTGACATTGCAGTGGGCAATAGCCCTCCTCCTCAACCACCCTGACTCCCTTCAGAAAGCTCAAACCGAGCTAGACCAACAAGTGGGAAGGGACCGATTAGTTGAAGAATCCGATCTCTCAAAGTTAGAGTACCTACGGGCTATTATCAATGAGACACTACGCTTATATCCTCCGGCCGCCACTCTCCTACCCCATGAATCCACTACAACGTGCACTCTCGGTGGCTACACCGTGCCAAAAGGCACAATGCTCTGGGTGAACGCATGGCACATACAGAGGGACCCTTGCGCGTGGTCCGAGCCTTTGAGGTTCGAGCCTGAGAGGTTTATAGGAAGTGGGGTTGATGTGAAGGGCCAAGATTTTAGGGTGATACCATTTGGTTCTGGGAGGAGGAGCTGTCCTGGAATGGGCTTGGCATTGAGGTCATTAGAGTACGTGCTCGCGAGTTTGTTGCATGCTTTTGAGTGGCGGAGGGAGGGCCCGGAGCCAGTCGATATGACGGATGTGGGCATCTCATTGAAGATGGCTGCGCCCTTGAGGGCACTCGCAACTCCGCGGCTCGAGCCTCATGTCTGCCTCCTTGCATGATGCATACATTGGCTGTATCTGAGGAGAGATTATGGACATGTTAGATCACATGTATAATGTATCTTAGTGCTTGCATGTGTGTGGACACGCCCACGAGAACGTGTTATGATATGTTTGTAAGATCATTATCTCTATTTGAGACTTATTTAAGTATTGTGTGATGCAATTCATTGCTTTGCTACCATCTTGGGTATGTAACTGCCAGTTAATGGAAGTCTCATGGCTCTTGTATTTTAAAGGGCTGGGGTATTGAGAGAGTTGAGTGACAATAAACTTGAGCTTTTGAGCAGCAAATGTATTTCGTTCACTTAATTTCAGATCAGAAAACAGGTGATTCTCTCTCTCTTTATAAATACACAAGCTATTCATTCATTTACATGATTCAGTTTGTAACTAGGATACACATCTGCAAAATTAATATCAAATATGCTCATCTTTGTGATAAGGAAAATGCCATCATTTGTAAGTACAATTGATAATACAGGTTATTTTCACAGAAAATTGATTTTCTGACTAAATAGTCCATTCCAACATAAGCCAGTATTCTGATTTAAACAACTCTCTCTCTCTCTCTCTCTCTCAAACAAATTCGGTTTTTCAAAAATCAAAATTTAATTTTAAAACATTTTGGTTTTTGAAAAACCAAATGAAGGCAGGTCCATTTTTCTTTTAAAAACGGAAACTTTGACGTAATCCCATAATAACTGTAAATATAACAGTTATAAACGTTATTTTTCCAAAAAAATATTAAAGTTTTAAAAATTAAATAGTGCATCTTTGCAGTGCCGTCAGATAAATTTCTCTTTTTAAAGGCTTTTACTACTTGATAAAAGTGATGTGTTTTAGTTTTAGGGAAATTTACCAAATAATAATTTATTCCCAAATTTTAAATACTTCCCTTTGTTATCATTTGTAAAGTAGTAGTTAAAGAGAGTGCTTGAGATTGCAGAGAGAACCTTTTGCAGAGCTCTATATATGTGCTCTGTATTGACTAAAACTCTCTTCTATCCATGTTTCAAGGTTTACCCCATGAGAATTTCTCAACAGAAAGAACCTGTACGGTTTGGTTTTCTCATTTCAATCGTCTGTTTTCTCTGCTAATTTCAGTGCTCTTTTTAGCAGTAAATATTTACAGGAGGAAATTCTTGATTCCTCTACTATAGTGGATTTTGGGTGTTTCCCTCTACAGTGAGCTTATTTTGGCTTTAGGACTTGGAGGCCTAGATTCCTGGGGTTTCAGACTGAAAACCAGTGGTTATGATGCTTCTTTAGTTATTGCTTTTGAGATGTTGCATAACTAGATTAAGGATTTTGGAGCTTATATTATGTGGGTTTCTTTTTTTCTCTTTGGTGGTGGTTCTAAAATGCCAGAGGGCCATGGCTTTGGCATTGGTTTATGATTTCCTTTGCAAAGCCTAAGAAATAAGCCAACCAGTCGAAGATAAAATATATGTTTTTCTGTTTTTCTTTTTCTAATTTATTGGGGTGTCTTATTTCTATGGCTAATATTTATGCACTAATAAAAGGAAAACTAGATTTACCTGTTGGAGTGGATAATTTCCAAATTAATCGTATTTTTGTAGTCTCATATGTTTTACTAGTCTGTATATTTCCAAATTAGTATCCTAGAAAGTATATTAAAAAAGAAGTGCATTAAATATTAGCCATAGAAATTTCTATGATGGGTTGTTAAGGATAACTTCTAGATGAGTTGAATTTTGGGTTGTGGATGGGATACATTTTCTTTTTAATATACTTCTTTTTTTATTCTACTTTCTAGGTTACTACTATTTCATTTTCTTTGATGGGTTGTGAAGTATCACTTCGGGATGCGTTGAATTTTGGAGAAAAGAAAAACCCTAAAATAACTAGGAGCATAATTAACTTCTACTCGCTCGGTCAAATGATCTACTTCGGAGGAATTTTTTCAATTTGAAAATTTGGGAACCACATGCTGTATAATTATTTTCGAAAGAAAAAACAAAATAAAATTTGGAGTTTTTTAAAACTTAGATCTCACCCTCTAAAAATTCATTGTTTCTATTCAATCTTGAGACGGGTGTTTGTAATGAGGTTTATATTCCAAAATTTGGAGTCCTAAAATTAACTCTAGATGAGATTTTACCTGAGGAAATAAGTGGTTAGTATACTCCGGAGGGAGTAAATAAAATATATGACTTTTCAGGTGCTAGCTCATAAGGGACTGGTAAAAAAACGTGGAGCTAACCATGAAAAAGTGAGTAGATAGCCATGGGTGGGAGTGTAATATTCAAATGAAAGCAATGAAACGTAACCTCTTATGTATGCACACAATAATGTTTCAAGAACCCATGACTTTTCCCAAAAATGCAAGGCCCGATGCTTCGGTGGCAATGTTTCTTGAATACTTATATATGATCTTGGGATTAATAGGAATCCATCTCTTCTCTGTGAACTGGAAAATGGTTGATATAGAATTTGTATTTGTCTTCTTTTTTTCCCACTATGTCTGTGATAAGCATATTTTTGTATGTTAGTAAGAATTTGAAGTTCCTATTGCTGAAAGTCCCTGAAAAGAAAACAAAAAGCCATGGAACTTATGTTTCTTGTAGCTTTTCTCTTAATCTTAGCCGCTTTATATGTAGCCAAAGGAAAAAATTCAATTGTGAATCTTTCCCCTGGACCACGGCCGTTGCCTTTCATCGGTAATTTCCACCTCCTGAAACGATCACTTCATAGATCTCTATCCGATCTTGCCAACCAATATGGCCCCATATTTAGCCTGCGACTTGGAATTAGACCAGTCGTAATTGTCTCTTCACCTAGTCTCGCTCAAGAATGCTTCACCAAAAATGACATTACCTTTGCATTTAGGCCTCGATTGGCTTTTGGAAAATACCTTGGCTATAACTACATGTCAGTTGCTTGGGCTCCCTAAGGTGCCCATTGGCGAAACTTGCGAAGGATTGAGACGCTTGAACTCCTGTCTTCAAGGAAAATTGAGATGTTTGCGTATATCCAACATGAACAAGTGGCAGCATTGCTACAAAGTATTGTTGAAGCCTCAGATAGAGGAGAGGTGGTGAACTTGAAGGATAGTAACGAAGAGACCATGTTCAATGCCATTGTAAAGATGGTGGCTGATAAAAGTTATTATGGAAGTGGGACTAAGGATCTAGATGAAGCAAAGGCATTTATAGAAGCCATTAATGATACATTCACATTGTCTGGGGTGTTGAACATTGGGGATTTTATTCCATGGCTTTCATGGTTGGGACTTAGGGGGATTAGACTTATGAAAGCATTGCATAGGAAGAGAGATAGGCTTATGCAGCACATTGTGGATGAGCATAGGAAATTGAGGAGTGGGGAAGGTCATGTTTTCAAGCCAGATTTCATTCACATGTTGCTGGACAGGAAAGAAGAGGATCCCAACTATTTCACAGATGATCTGATCAAGAGTATAATCCAGGTATGTCTTAGAATTCACAGCAACCTTTTCTCATGAACTTTCACAAATATTTCTCATGTGAATGTAACAATTCCTATGTTCCTGAAAACCAATATATTTGCTGGCTGAGCATTTGAAAAAACCGTAGAGTTTCATTGTGATAATTGTTACATGGAGGCAGACACATTATTGTCCAACATGTGTACGGGGGTGTGTTATATATATTAGTCCTAGAATTGTTGAACTGAAAATCTGGAAGTGGCATATAAACCTTTATAAAAGAGTACATGGATCTAAAATAAAGTCATAAAACTGCTAGGAATAAGATGGTATCCTTTTTAAGCAACTGCTAGGAATGATGATATCTTTTTAAAGCTTTTCATGAGGACACCTCCTGGTTGCATTGGTCCTTTGAACATGATTGCTTCCTTGGTCTGGCTCCCACTGCTACTCTCATTCCTCTACCATGTAAAGGAGGACTTTGTTGCATGCTTGTGTCTTTGACAGGTCAACCACTTTACAGAGAACGTCATTGATATGCATATTCTACATCATTTCTTATGCTGAAATCATCTTTTGAGATGCCTTTGGTTATCATTCGAATTGCTGATTTGAGCACTGAATGTATAGTCACCAAGGTGTTAAATTGGGAATGGTGCAGTATGTTGCTTATACCAGTTATGTGTTTATTTATATGCATCTGAGTGTGTTCTTTTCTGCTCTTCTGCTATTAGAGCTTTATACCTGTTACAAGTCTTCCTCCCATAATCTGAAACATTATAGATGATTCAGTGAAGAGAATGAAATAAAATTCTTAATCATGACCTTATGTTTCACGGGCTAGGCTATTCCCAATCAAAACTCTTTCCATACTTGCCATTTGTAGTAGGCAACCTAGGTCAGCTGAAAACATAGAGAGGTATATGGAATTGTAGACACCTAATTACTCTTGTAAGGCCCCTTCAATCACTAAGTGAATCTTACTTTGTTTGGCCGTTAGTTAGAACTTTGGACTCGCTTGTTCCATATTTTGATATGTTGGATCAGTGATTGAAATTTGGAGCCTTGGGATTAGACTCGCCTGAGTCACTCAAACCCTGCAGGGTGCAGGATCCGCTTCCAGAACCCTAAGACTTGCCCAAGTCGGAGCAAGTAATGAGCCTTCTGTGTAATTTTCATAGAGACTCCGCCGAGTCAGATCGCTGACTTGGGCAAGTCAAACTACTGACTCAGGCTTGGGTCCCTGGTGAGTCCGCACCCAAATCTAAGCTTTAAGTCTATGCTGGATGTTCCTGGTTTGTATTTTGAAGTTTCATGGACGACACGCAGCATATTCTTTTTCCCCCTGTTTATGTTGAAACAATATTTTAGGTAAGGCACAGATGATAAATCTCCTGCAGTTGTGGTGTGCCTTTCTTTAAAAAAAAAAGCTGGATACAAGAATTTTTCACAAAGGTTATTATCCTGCAGAGTTCTATAAGCCAATTGAGATCTCGGAACATCTCTTGCGTGACATCCGAAATCTTGGGAGAATTTTAAAATCTTGGTTTCCTGGGGAAAACTTGGGAAAAATAAGGAAATTTAAAATCTAGCTTATAAAATCAAATTCACCTATAAGTTTTCACAAACTTCTATTATTTCTATTTGTTAACATATTTTGTTTATTTCATTAAAAATACATAATGTTGTCTACACATTTGTAACTTGCTTTTTCTCTTGTAAAAGGACTGGGAAGATCTTGTAATACTCTTTACTTAATACAATAGTTAAACACTTTCAAAAAAAAAGACTGTGGGAAGAAAAAAGAAAAAAAGGAAAGAAATATCACAGCATTACGGAGAATTATATTTTTCTATATGAAACATTTCTATACGAAAAGGAAGGATGCACTTCTTTCATCAATCATGAGATTTTAAAAATAAAACTGAAATAGAGATGTCTGTGACTAATTATGGCCGAAGTCCTCATTGGGCACAATGCATCCCCTCACCCCCCCCCCTCCCCCCATTTTTACCTGATTCTTCTCCAGGTCATGATCGTGGCAGGAACAGAGACCACAGCGGTGACACTGCAGTGGGCACTAGCCCTCCTCCTCAACCACCCTGACTCCCTTCAGAAAGCTCAAACCAAGCTAGACCAACAAGTGGGAAGGGACCGATTAGTTGAAGAATCCGATCTCTCAAAGTTAAGAGTACCTACGGGCTATTATCAATGAGACACAATGCTTATATCCTCCGGCCGCCACTCTCCTACCCCATGAATCCACTACAACGTGCACTCTCGGTGGCTACCAAAAGGCACAATGCTCTGGGTGAACGCATGGCACATACAGAGGGACCCACCCTTGCGCGTGGTCTGAGCCTTTGAGGTTTATAGGAAGTGGGGTTGATGTGACGGGACAAGATTTGAGGGTGATATCATTTGGTTCTGGGAGGGGAGGAGGAGCTGTCCTGGAATGGGCTTGGCGTTGAGGTCATTAGAGTACGTGCTCGCGAGTTTGTTGCATGCTTTTGAGTGGCGGAAGGAGGGCCCTGAGCCGGTTGACATGCCTGCATCTCATTGAAGATGGCTATGCCCTTGAGACGGCTCCCGTCTCATATCTACCTCCTTGCATGATGCATGGATTGGCTCTGTCTGAGAGAGAGAGAGAGAGAGAGAGATGATTAGAGACATGTTAGGTCCATGTACAAGGTATTTTAGTGCTTGCATGTGCACAGACACGCCTACGAGAAAGTGTTATGATATGTTTGTATGATCATGATCTCTATTTGTGACTTATCAAGCCTTATGATATGTTAGTATGATCATGATCTCTATTTGTGACTTATTAAGCCTTGTGTGATGGAATTTATTGCATTGCTACCATCTTGGGTGTGTAAGTGCCATTCCTTGGAAGGCTCATGGGCTTCGTATTTGAAAGGGCTGGGGTATTGAGAGAGTTGAGTGATAATAAACTTGAGCTTTTGAGCAGCAAATGTATTTGTTTCACTTAATTTCAGATCAGAAAACTGGAGGTTCTCTCTTATACTAGAAATACACACAAGCTATTCATTCATGTACATGATTCAGTTTTTGTAACTAGGATGCACATGTGCAAAATTGATAACAAAGATGAACATCTGTGTGATAAAGAAAATGGCATCATTTGTCAGTACAATTGATAATACAAGTTATATCACAGAAAATCACTTTTCTGCAATTAAATAGTCCATTCCAACATAAGTCAGTAATCTGATTTAAACATTCGATTGAAAGAAATTATTTGGAACAAGATTATGAGCATGATGTTTCTAACAGAAATCATTAAAAAAGAGACCCATATAGTCTTTAACAATAAATTTTGCCCAAAATAAAAAATAAAAAAATAGAAAAGCACTTAAAAAGAAACCCCAAACATACAAAGGAATTCAGGTCATCAATGTTTGAAAAGGGTGAAACAATATCACCAATACCATTACAATCTATTCACATTGTTTGCAAAGAGGACATGATTAAAATGGTTAAACCATCTCCAAAAATTCCCTGAGACAGCCATATCAATCAACTTGTAGACAAAGTGGTTACTTTGAAAAGAACATTTTACAAAAGTACCCTGTCAATTATTTCGTTAAAAAATACCCAAGCTGCCCTTAGTCTAGATTGGTATATGAAACTAACAAGGGTATTTTAGTAATTTTACCTCACTAAGTGGCTTGAGACGAGTGATGTTAATGCCCCTACTTGTTCCCGGTTCCCAACTTGGAAGATGTGCTTTTTTGTAAAATCTTTTATGCCAGGTCTGTAATATGGAACAGGCAGGGGGGCATTTTGATAAATTGTCCCCATCTGTAACTTGAATGGAGAGAGAGTTCAGAGATTTTCATCCATTATTTTATTATAGTGAAATAATTGGTGCTAGTTTCTTGTATACATCGAGTGAAGATGCTCTCTTGTTTTAAAAGCTTGAGTTTTCATTTTTCCCTAATTGTCCTATATGAAGGTTCATTCCTTGAAACTCTTGAAACCCCAATATTCCAAAATGGAAGTTTTATGTGATTCTTTATGTAGACAAAGGCATGAATGTCACAACGCAACAACCGGATAGCTAATATAAAATTTGAAAATTTTGTGAAAGTGAACTGTATCAGTTTTCTTGGGAATTACAAAATAATAATTTATTCCTAGATGTGTGAATCTCTTGAGTTGACATTGATAAATTTTAAATTTTTTACTTTGTTGTACTTTGTACAATAGTAGTTGCAAAGATGCTTGAGATTGCAGAGAATCTTTTACAAAGCTCTCCGTATGAAGTGACTCACTCTCTTCAATCCATGTTTCAAGATCTACCTGATGGGAACTTCTCAATAGAAAGTACCTGTATTATTTGGTTCTCTGTTTAATTGTCTGTTTTCTCTGCTAATTTCAGTGCTCTTTTTAGCAGTAAATATTTACAGTAGGAAGTTCTTGATTCCTTTACTATATGCTGGGTTTTGTATGCTTCCCTCTAGAGTAGGCTTATTTTTAGCTTTAGGACTTGGAGGCCTTGATTCCTAGGGTTTCAGACCGAAGAGCATTGGTCATGATTCATCTTTAGCTATTGTTTTTTCGATGTATCGAGGATTTTGAAGCTTATGTTGTGGGCTTCTTTTTTTTCTTTTATGGGTGTTATAAAATGCCAAAAGTCCATGGCTCTGGCATTGATTTATGATCTTCTTTGGAAAACCTAAGAAATAAGTTAACCAGTTAAAGCTAAAAGTATGTATTTTTTCTTTTTTTTTCTTTTTTTCATTTATTGGAGTGTCTTATTTCTATGGCTCATATTTATGCACTGATGAAGGAAACCTAAATTTACCTGTTGGAGTGGAAATTTTCCAAATTAGTGTTATTTCGTAGTCTCATATGTTTTACTAGTTTATATATTTGCATTGAGTAGAAAGAGAGAGAAATTTCTTGGGTAAGGGTGTATAATTTTATATGATCTTGGGATCATTAGGAATCCATTTCTTCTCTTTGAACTGGAAAATGGTTAGTATCTAAAATTCATAGTTGTCTGTATTAGTAGTTTTCTTTTTCTTTTTTTTCTTTTTTTTCTTTTTTTCCCTTTTCTGGGCTAAGCATAGTTTTCTATGTTAGTAAGAATTTGAAGTTCCTAGTACTGAAAGTCCGTGAAAAGAAAACAAAAAGCCATGGAACTCATGTTGCTTGTAGCTTTTCTCTTAATCTTGGCTACTTTATATTTAGCCAAAGAAAAATCTTCAACTGTGAACCTTCCCCCTGGACCTCGGCCCTTGCCTTTCATCGGTCATTTCCACCTCCTGAAACGACCACTTTATAGATCTCTGTCCGATCTTGCCAACCAATATGGCCCCATATTTAGCCTGCGACTTGGAATTAGACCAGTCGTAATTGTCTCTTCAGCTAGTCTTGCTCAAGAATGCTTCTCCAAAAATGACATTACCTTTGCATCTAGGCCTCGATTGGCTTTGGGAAAATACCTTGGCTATAACTACATGTCAGTTGCTTGGGCTCCCTATGGTGCCCATTGGCGAAACTTGCGAAGGATTCAGACACTTGAACTCCTGTCTTCAAGGAAAATTGAGATGTTTGCGTATATCCGACATGAACAAGTGGTGGCACTGCTACAAAGTATTGTTGAAGCCTCAGATAGAGGAGAGGTGGTGCAATTAAAGGATAGGATCAACGAGACAATCTTTAATTCCATTGTAAAGATGGTGGCCGGTAAGAGTTACTACGGATGTGGGGCTAAGGATCTAGATGAAGCAAAGGCATTTAAAAGAGCCATTGATGAGACATTCACATTATCTGCGCTGTTCAACATGGGGGATTTTATTCCATGGCTTTCATGGCTGGATCTTAGGGGAATTAGACTGATGAAAGCATTGCAAAGGAAGAGAGATAAACTTGTGCAGAGCATTGTGGATGAGCATAGGAAATTGAGGAGTGGCGAATGCTATGCTTTAAAGCCAGATTTTATTCATATGTTGCTGGCCATGAAAGAAGAGGATCCCAACTATTTCACAGATGATCTGATCAAGAGTTTAGTGGTGGTATGTATTACACTTGACATCAGCGTCTTTTCATAAATTTTCAAAAATATTTCTCATGTGAATGTAACAAGTCTTATGTTCCTTAAAAACGATACATTTGCTGTCTGACCATTTGAAAATACCACTCAGTTTCAATGCGGCCAGTTTTACATGGGGGTAAACACATTATTTGTCCAACATGTCTACAGACTACGGGTGTGTGTTAGATATATTTGTCCAAGCATTTTTGAACGAAAGATCTGGTTGTGGCATATAAGCAATTGTGGACAAGTACATGAGTTGAAAATTAAGTCACAAACTTGTGAGGAGTATAATGGTAATTCTTAAGCGTTTTCCATAAAGATGCCTCCTGGTCATGTTGGTCCTTTGAACAATGCCATGGTGCGGCTCGCGCTCCAACTCTTATCCCTCCACCACATAAAGGAGGACTTTGTTGCATGCTTGTGTATTTGACAGGTCACTCACTTGACTGGGATTGTCATTGATATGCATATTCTAACTCATTTCTTAAGCTGAAATCATCTTTTGAGATGTCTCTTGTTATTATACTGATTGCTGATTTGAGCACTGAAAGTATAGTTCACCAAAGCAGTAAAATTGGGAATGGTGCAGGATGTTGCTTATACCAGTTATGTGTTTTTTCTCCCATATGCATCTGGGTGTGTTCTTTTGTGCTTTTCTGCTATTAGAGCTTTTTATCCGTTACAAGTCTTCCACCTGTAGTCTGAAAATCATGGATGATTCAGTGAAAAGAATGAATTTATGGGCTAGGTTATTCCCAATCAAACTCCTCCCATGCTCGCCTTTCTTAGGAGGCAATCTAGGGTCAGCTGCAAAGATAGAGAGGTATATGGAATTATGGACATCCAATTACTCTTTTGTGAGGTCCCTTCTATCACTAAACAAATCTTGCTATGTCTAGCCATTGGTTAGAACTTAGGACTCTGGATTTGCTGGTTCCATATTTTGATAGATTGTGTCAGTGATTGAAAGTTGGTGCCTCGGGCTCAGACTCGCCCAAGTCACTGAGACCCAGCAGGGTGCAGGATCCATTTCCTCACCCAAGTCGGGTCAATTCAAGGAGCCTTCTGTGTAATTTTCATAGAGACTCAGCCGAGCTGGACTGCTGACTTTTGCTAGTCAAACTACTGAGTCAGGCTTGGGTCCCTGGTGAGTCTGGATCCAAGTCCAAGCTTTTGAAGTTTATAGAGAACATGCCGCATTTGCCTTTTTTTTCCCCTGCATGTAGAAGAAACAATATTTTAGTTAAGGCAAGAATGATACATCTTCTGCAGCTGAAGTGCATCTTTACACTGTTTTTTTCCTTTTTTTTTTTTTAACTGGACATTAATTTTTCACAAAGGTTATTATCCTGCATAGTTCTATAAGTCAATTGAGATCTTGCAACATCTCTTGGGTGTCTTTCAAAATCTTCATTTCCTGAGGAAAACTTGGGAAAATTTATGAAAAATTCTAAAATCTAAATTATAAAATCAAACTCTCCTATAAGTTTTTCACATTGAAGTCTTTAAAAAATAATTAAAATTTCTGTTTATTTATATAGATTGTTTATTTCATTAAAAATACATATGTTGTCTATACATTAATAACTTTTCTTTCTCTTGTAAAAAACTGTGGGAAGAAAAAGAAAATAAGCGAACAAATATCATGTTATTATGAAGAATAATATTTTCTAAAAGAAAAGGAACGTTACACTTCTTTCATCAGTCATGAGATTTCAAAAATAAAATAGAAATGGAGATGTTTGTCACTACGTCATGCCCCCTCATTGCGCAAAAGGCATCACCTAACCCACCATTTTCAACCGATTCTTCTCCAGGTCTTGATAGTGGCCGGAACAGAGACCACAGCTGTCACACTGCAGTGGGCACTAGCCCTCCTCCTCAACCACCCCGACTCCCTTCATAAAGCTCAAACCGAGCTAGACCAACAAGTGGGAAGGGACCGATTGGTTGAAGAATCTGACCTCTCAAAGTTAAGAGTACCTAGAGCTATTATCAATGAGACTCTACGCTTATATCCTCCAGTCGCCACTCTCGTACCCCACGAATCCACTGCAAAATGCACTCTCGGTGGCTACACCATGCCAAAAGGCACAATCCTCATGGTCAATGCGTGGCACATACAAAGGGACCCTTACTCGTGGCCAGAGCCCTTGAATTTCAAGCCTGAGAGGTTTATGGCAACTGAGGCTGATGTTAAGGGCCAAGATTATAGGGTGATACCATTTGGTTCAGGGAGGAGGAGCTGTCCTGGAATGGGCTTGGCGTTGAGGTCATTAGAGTACGTGCTCGCAAGTTTGTTGCATGCTTTTGAGTGGGAGAGGGAGAGCCCTGAGCTGGTTGATATGACTGTGGGTGCGGGCTCCTTATTGAAGATGGCTGTCCCCTTGAGGGCACTCACAACTCCGCGGCTTCCACCTCATGTGTACCCCCCTGTATGATTCGTACATTGGCTTTATTTGAGAGAGAGTGAGAGAGAGAGAGAGAGAAAGATCACACTATAAAGTATCTTTGTGCTTGCGTGTGAGCAGACATACCTATGAAGAATGTGTTATGATATGTTCATATGATCATTATCTGTATTTGAGACTTAAAGTCTTATGTGTGATGCAATTTATTGTGTTTCTATCTTCTTGGGCATTTAACTGCCATGTGTGGGGGAGGGCTTATTGGCTTTGTATGTGGAAAGGGTTAGGGTAATGAGAGAGTTGAGTAACACGATAACTTGAGCTTTTGAGCAGCAAATGTATTTGGTTCACTTAATTTCAGATCAGAAAACTGGAGGTTTTCTCTCTCACTAGAAATACACACGAGCTATTCGTTCATCAACATGATTCAGTTATTGTAACTAGGACATACATCTGCAAGATTAATAACCTAAAGATGCTTGCCGGTGCGTTTGATTACTGAAATGTCATCATTTATTAGTCCAATTGATGATACAAGTTATAATCACAGAAAATCACTTTTCTGCAACTAAATAGTCTGTTCCCATGTATGCTGGTAATATGATTTGAAAATTTGATTGAAAAAAATTATTAAGGAGCAAGATTAGAAGCATTTGATGTTTCCAATAGAAAGCATGGGAAAAGAGACCTGTATAGGCCTTGAAATATATTTTGAGGAAAAAATATAGAAAACCACTTAACAAGAAACCCCAAATAAACAAAGCAATTCTGGTGATCGGTATTTGAAAAAGATAAAACAATATGACCAATATCAGCACAATCTGTTCACTTTTTCCTAGAGAAAATATGATTAAAATGGTAGACCAACTCCAAAAATCTCTGAGACGCTCATATCAACGAATTTATAAACAAAGTGGTTGCTTTGAAAAGACCATTTCACTTAAGTACTTTATCGACTATTTTGTTAAAAATACCCAAGATGCCCCTAGTTTGGATTGGAATCCGAAACTAGCAAGAGTATTTTGCTAATTTTACCTCACTTAAGTAGCCGAGAAAAGTGATGTTAATACCCCTACTTGTTCCAAGTTTCCAACCTGAAAGATGTGTTTTTTATTAAACTATTTAATTCCATATCTGGAACATGGAACAAGCAGGGCAATTTGATAAATTGGCCCAATTTGTAACTTGAATGGAGAGAGTCCAGTGATTTTCATCCGTTATTATTATAGTGAAATAATTGGTGCAAATTTCTTGTAGAACATCGAGTGAAGATGCTCCCTTGTTTAGAATCTTGAGATTCTTTCTTTTCCATACTGGTCATATGTGAAGAAGGTTAATTTCTTGAAACTCTTGCAACCCCAATATTCCAAATGGAAGTTTTGTGTTATTTTTGTGTAGACGATGGGCAAGAGTATGACAACACAACAAACAAACAAAGAAAATATGAACAAGGAAAACTTAATTTGAAGAATTTGTTAAGCTACATATTGCATCATATAAACTAGAGGACATGAATGATAAAAATATGAACTTAAACGACACACACACACTATCCTAATATGCTACATCTATCCTCTGTCTCACTCGTATAAAAACCTTTTAGAAGGGACAATGAATACTACAGTCCAAATAGACAGTGGAAAAACCAAAGTTCATTGGGTCCTCACAATGATTAATAGAAGATGATAGAGACAGCGTGGGTCATATCATGGATCCCTCTCTCTCCATCATTGTCCATCATTTCAATGGATGGTGATGACCTTAACAATTGATTTGCCTCTCCCACCATCATCGTCCATCATTTCAATGGATGGTGACGACCTAAACAATTGATTTGCAGGAAGTAGCATCAGTCATTACCTGTATGTTATTAACCCAGAAGATGAAGGCAATATACAAATTTCATCAATTTAATTATAGGTTGCCGCTATTAGACCCAAATCAAATTATAATAAAAGTTAAGGTTAAGCAGGCTTGAGCGACTCAGATTGTTACTATTGTCTTATAGTCATTAATGATATGGAACACTTTGTTGCAGAGGAGACAAAGCAGAAAAGCCATAAAAAGCTCATTTTATGGACAATTCTTGCAAAACTCTTTCTTCCCATTTTTTAGAGTTTCATATAGAAGACCTATGTTTCTGTGGACCTTGCTTGCACCCTTTGCCCATGAAAAAACTGGTAGTTCTTCATGAATTCTTTACACTAAATTGTTTTGTTTTGGACATGCACAGTAAGTGAATATTGGGTTGTGTTTCTTTTCTGATCTACAATGAGCTTATTTTAGCTTTAGAACAATGGTGGAGTTTTTTGGTTGTAAGATTTCAGGTTGAAATGATGCTTCTTTAGCTGTTGTTTCTTGTGATGTTGTATAATTAGACTGGGATGGTGGACCTCATATTGTCTTATGAAAGTGCTCCTTTAAGGTATTGTTATATTCTGCAAAATCCATGAACCTGGCATGGATTCATGATTTCCTTTTCTAATCCTATACAGCTAAGCTGTCTAGATTCATATAGGAAATATAGATATGGCATGTTAGGAGCTGCAGTGGTCTTATTTTGTACTTGTATCCTCTTTAGTAGTTTCTCTATATTCACTGAATAAGATGAAAAGCTACTTGGGCAAGCACAAATATCTGGTTTTCAGATAAATCATAATTCATTCCTCTTTAAATTGGAAAAAAAAAAAAGAGGAGGAAAAAAAAGAACCAATCTTTGTCTGAAATAGCGATAATTAGAAACCCATTTGGTGGAAGTCTCTCAAAACCAAAATCCATGGACCTTATCTTGATTCTAACTTTCTGCATATTCTTGGCCACCTTATATGCAATCAAAAGAAAATCATCATTTGTTAACTGTCCTCCTGGACCTCAACCCTGGCCTGTTATTGGGCATTTTCACCTCCTAAAACCTCCACTTTACAGGTCATTATCCCAACTCTCTAAACAATACGGCCCGGTCTTCAGCCTTTGGCTAGGAAAGCGATTTATAGTGGTTGTCTCCTCGGCTAATCTGGCACAAGAATGTTTCACCACTAATGACATTACGTTTGCATCTAAGCCTCAATTGGCCGTTGGGAAATACCTTGGCTATGACTATACCTCTGTTGTTTGGGCTCCCTATGGTGCACATTGGCGGAATGTACGGAAAATCCAAGTGCTCGAGCTTCTTTCCTCAAAGAAAATCGAGATGTTTGCATGTATTCGTCAAGAACAAGTGTCTGCATTGCTACAAAGTCTCGTTGAAGCTTCGAATAGAGAGAAGGTGGTGAACATGAAGGACAGGATCACTGAGACCATCTTTAGTATTATTGTTAAGATCGTGGCCAATAAAAGTTATTATGGATGTGCAGTTCAGGATCTAAAAGAAGCAAAAGAATTTAGAGAAGCGATTGAGGAGACATTCCTGTTGACAGGGAAGGTGAATTTTGGGGACTATATTCCATTTCTTAAGTGGGTGGATCTACAGGGGATTACCCGACTCTTGAGAGCATTGGGGAGGAAGAGAGATAGGATTATGCAGCAGATTGTGGATGAACATAGGAAATTGAGGAGCAGTGAGAATGATAATTTAAAGCCAGATTTCGTTCACATGTTGCTTGCCATGCAAGAGAATGATCCTGACTACTTCACAGATGATTTTAATTAAGAGTATAATTATGGTATGTATTTTCTTAATGTAACTCACTACAGCTATATTTTCTCATTTGTTCTTCAACTTTTGTGTGAAGATAACATAGAAAAAAAAAATGCCTTTGTTTCTCAACATTGAACATTACAATAATATACATAGATACCACGTGAACGAGTACAGATACATTCTTTTAAAAAAAGAAAAGCATAAATATTTATTTGTATCTGAAGATAACATGAATATTGAAAACGATGCCATTGTTTCTTATATTAACCTCTTCTTTTCCAGGTTATGATGTCAGCCGGAACAGAGACCACAGCCATCACCCTAGAGTGGGCCTTAGCCCTCCTCCTTAACCACCCCTACTCCCTTCAGAAAGCTCAAACCGAGCTAGACCAACGATTTGGAAGGGACCGATTAGTCAAAGAATCCGACCTCCCCAAGCTAGAGTACCTTCAAGCCATCATTTACGAGACATTACGCTTATACCCTCCGGGCCCTATGCTTTCACCTCATGAGTCGACCTCAGAGTGCACCCTAGGTGGTTACACCGTGCCCAAAGGCACCATACTCATGGTGAATGCATGGCACATACATAGAGACCATGACTCGTGGCCCGAGCCTTCAAGTTTCAAGCCTGAGAGCTTTATGGGGACTGGGGTTGATGGGAGGGGCCAAGATTTTAGGTTTATTCCTTTCAGTGCGGGTAGGAGGATCTGTCCTGGCATGGGTTTGGCATTGAGGTCTGCGGTGTATGTGCTCGGGTGCTTGTTGCATGGGTTCGAGTGGCAGAGGGAAGGCATTGAGCCAGTTGATATGTCAGAGGGTGCGGGGCTTACGATGCCAAGGGCCGTACCCTTGAAGGCATTCGTGACCCCACGGCTCCCGCTTCATGTGTATCCCCTTGCATGATATGTGGGTGCATTGTGTCTTAGGGAGGGGGAGAGAGAGATGCTAAGCCTACATGATCATCAACTGCTCGACATGAAGTATTTCATGCGAACCACTAGATCATGCAAGCACGCATGCATGTGTATAAGAGAGAAATTTTTATATATTCAGTATTTCAAGAATCGGAATTGTTTGCAAAACTTCAAACACCAAAAATCCTTAGTTTCCTCCTACCCCCAAAACCCCTCTTCCTTGCGCTTGTATGCCTTTGCAATCATAAAACCAACCATTAGATACCAATGGACCATAAAAATTTTTAGTGTTAGTACCATCTAATGAAATGATTGATGATGAAGGTGAGAATGGACAATGGAGTATAGAAAACTATGGTGTTGACTTTTTTTTCTTTTTTTTGAGCGTTAAGTTCATTAAAAGGAGCCGAAGCTCAGAGTTACAAAGTGTTACAAAAAGAGTAACAAAACAAAAGAAGGAAGAAAGGGAGGTGAGGGGGAGGGAAGAGCGAAAGATAGAGAGGAAAGAGGTCAAGGGCTGAGAGGAAAGAGGTCAAGGGCTGTTAACTTGTGCAATGAAATGATTGATAATCATGGAAGGTTGAACCTGACCTTGGTGTGCATTCCACTCTCTCCCGATTGGTGTCCATCATTTCATTACGTGTTCCCGACAATATGGTTTTTTAAAGTCTATTCGATTGCTGTGAGAAGGGCTTTGGGAGGGAGGAGGAAGACAGATATTTGAATTTTTCGATTAGATAATAATTTTGGTTTTTCAATAATAAAAAATTTGAATTTTTTGATTATTGAAAAATTAAAAAAAGTAGTTTCACCATTTTTAAAAAATACTGTTATGGAGAAAAAGGGTACAAATGTAGTAAGAAAAATTTTATTGTAATTACTTAAAAACAAAAATAATTGATATATATTTCTCTTTTTTATATACCCCATTCAATTGTCCCCATTTCTAATTTTTAAGGAAATTTATCAAATCACATTTAAACAATAAACTACTTAACATTTCACCATAGATATGATTCGATAAAATTTGATAAAAAACACTATACTATCGAAATTAGATCAAGATATGAGATGTTGTCTAGATAACTTATATTTTGTTGAAGTTCCCAATGTTTATTTTATGTCCAAGTGTCATCACCCATGACGTGTGAAAGTGTGGACACACCATATTTTTGGTGACAAAATATTCATTGTTGAAGTTCCCTAATTTTATTTTATGCAAAGTGTCATCACCCATGACCTGTCAGAATGTGGGCACACCCCATTATTGGTGACAAAATATTCCACTACATGATAAAATAATGAGAGCAGGTTTCAATACTAAAATATTGAGAGCATCTTTCAATACTAAAAATGACAACTTAAATTAAAAGAAAAATTACACATATATCTGTTATATTTTACATTATTATAGATATATCGAATAGTTCCCGTTTTTATATGTCTATCCGTTTTTTACTTTTCATAAAGCAAATTTTTTAAAAAGACGATTTTACCCTTTTTCGGATGTTCAACATCTGAATTCAATGTATTTTCAGTTGTTGAACAATATCAGTCATATTTCAAAAAGTTTGCATTGCCAACATCCGAAAATGTAACTGTGAAATTCCAGACACCTTAAGGAGGGTAAAGTCATATTTTTTAGAAACTGTGATATTTTAGATGCTCAACATCCGAAAATGTGGCATTTTCGATGTTCAACATCCGAAAATGTGATTATGAAATTCCAGAAACCATAAGGAGGGTAAAGTCATCTTTTTAAAAAAATTGTGTTATAAAAGGTAAAAAAATAAATAGACATGTAATAACATAAACTATTTGGTATATCCGTAATAACGCAAAGTATAACAAATATATATATGTAATTTTCCCTAAATTACATAGTAGAGTAATATAGCTTACCACTAATGGACCCAAATTATAATAAAAATTACGGATTAAGAATAGGCTTGAGCAACTCAGATTGTTACTTTTGTCTTATAGTCATAGAGTGTTTATGACTAGGCTTCATGAAAACGTAATAAAGCCTTACCTCAAATCCTCACCCATAAAGCATTTCGGCATCGGAAACCTTTATGATGGCTCTAAAATTAATTTTCAACACCGACAATAAATTTTGAAACTTACAACATATACAGATCTTGCATACCTGTGAACACTTATTTTTAAAGCCAAATGGATGGCCTAAATTATTTGTTGTTATATAACTATTTGTAGAGCTTGAAATCCTAATTGTTATGCACAATCATAATATTCAAGTCGAGATGATCTTTACTTGCAATTTTTGAAGAGTTATGCGATGAGATTTATTTATTTTGATAGGCTGCAGCCCTATCAAACCATTTTCTAATAGTCGTTAATGATATGGTACACTTGCAACCATTTTCCTGTAGTCATTAATGATACGGTACATTAATGACTACAGTCGCATTCCTGTAGTCATTACTATATGGTACACTTGCAACCATTTTCCTGTAGTCATTAATGATATGGTACACTTGCAACCATTTTCCTGTAGTCATTTTATGGAAAATTCTTGCACCTCTCTTTCTTCTTATTTTCTAGAGTCTTATATAGAACGCCTCTGTTACTGTGGACCTTGCTTGCATCCTTTGCCCATGAAAATCTAGTATTTCTTCATGAATTCTTTACAAACTAAAATTGTTTTGTTTTGGACATGCATTCTAAATGCATATTGGGTAGTGTTCTTTTCCGATCTACAATGAGCATGCTTTAGCTTTAGATCTTGAATGGTGGAGTTTTTTGGTTGTAAGATTTCAGGTTGAAATGATACTTCTTTAGCTGCTGTTTCTTGTGATGTTGTATAATTAGACCGAGGATTGTGGACCTCATTGTCTTTTGAAATTGCTCCTTAAAGGTATTGTTATATGCTGCAAAATCCATGAACCTGAATCCTACTCAGCTAAGCTGTCTAGATTCATCAAGGAAATATAGGTTTGGTATGTAGGAGCTGCAAAGTTTTCACAGTGATCTCATTTTGTTCCAATATCCTCTTTATAGTCTCTCATTGAATAAAATGAAAAGCTACTTGGCCAAGCAAAAATACTTTTATCTGGTTTTCAGATAAATCAAAATCCATTCTTCTCTTTGAATAGGAAAAAAGAAAGTGAATGAGAAAAAAATAAAAAAAACAAAACCAATCTTTGTCTGAAATAGCGATAATTCAAAACCCATTTGTTGGAAGTCTCTCAAAACCAAAATCCATGGAGCATACATTGATTCTAACTTTCTCCATATTCTTGGCCACCTTGTATGCAATCAAAATAAAATCCTCATTTGTTAACCTTCCTCCTGGGCCTCGACCTTGCCAGTTATTGCACATTTATCCCTCCTAAAACCTCCACTTTACAGGTCATCATCCCATCTCTCCAAACAGTATGGCCCGAACTTCAGCCTTTGGCTAGGCAAACAGTTTGTAGTGGCTGGCTCCTCGGCTAATCTAACCCAAGAATGTTTCACCACTAATGACATTACGTTTGCGTCTAGTCCTCAAATTGCCATTGGGAAATACCTTGGCTATGACTATACCACTGCTGTTTGGGCTCCCTATGGTGCACATTGGCGAAACGTACAGAAAATCCAAACGCTCGAGCTTCTTTCCTAAAAAAAAAATTGAGATGTTGGCATATATTCGTCAAGAACAAGTGTCTGCATTGCTACAAAGTCTTGTTGAAGCTTCTAATAGAGGGAAGGTGGTACCATGAAGGACAGGATCACTGAAACCATCTTTAGTTCTATTGTTAAGATGGTGACCAATAAAAGTTATTATGGATGTGCAATTGAGGATCTAAAAGAAGCAAAGGAATTTAGAGAAGCGATAGAGGAGACATTCCTGTTGACAGGGAAGGTGAAGTTTGGGGACTATATTCCAGATCTTAAGTGGGTGGATCTACAGGGGATTACCCCACTCTTGAGAGCATTGGGGAGGAAGAGAGACAGGATTTTGCAGCAGATCGTGGATAAACATAAGTAATTGAGGAGCAGTGAGAATGACAATTTAAACCAAGATTTCATTCACATGTTCCTTGCAATGCAAGAGAATGATCCTGACTACTTCACAGATGATTTAATTAAGAGAATATTTGTGGTATGTATTTTCTAACTGTAACTCATTACAACTATATTTTCTCACTTGTTCTTCAACTGTTGTGTGAAGATAACATAGATTTTCAAAAAAAAAAAAAACCTTTGTTTCTCAACATTGAACATTAGAATAATATACATAGATATACATGAACGAGTACAAATAGGTTCTTTTTTAAATTAAAAAAAAAAAACTATAAATGCATATTTTCTATATAAAGTTAACATAAATTTCGAAAAAGATGCCTTTGTTTCTTATATTAACCCTCTGCTTACCCAGGTTATGATGACAGCTCACCCTAGAGTGGGCCTTAGGCATCCTCCTTAACCACCCGGACTCCCTTCAGACCAACAAGTTGGAAGGGACCGATTAGTCGAAGAATCCGACCTCCCCAAGCTAGCGTACCTTCGAGCCATCATTTACGAGACATAACGCTTATACACTCCAGGCCCTATGCTTGTACCTCATGAATCGACCTCGACCTCAAAGAGCACCCTAGTTGGGTGGTTACCCCGTGCCCAAAGGCACTATACTTATGGTGAATGCATGGCACATACATAAAGACCCTGACTCGTAGCCCGAGCCTTCAAGTTTTTATGGGGACGGCGGTTGATGTGAGGAGCCAAGATTTTAGGTTTATTCCTTTTAGTGCTGGTAGGAGGATCTGTCCTGGCATTGAGGTGCTCGCGAGCTTGTTGCATGGGTTCGAGTGGCAGAGGGAAGGCATTGAGCCAGTTGATAAGTCAGAGGGTGTGGGACTCACGATGCCAAGGGCCGTGCCCTTGAAGGCATTCGCATATATAATATAATTTCCTATCTAATTTCCAGTTGATATGTCGGAGCGTAAAAAAAGGAGTTCTTAACTAAAAGATGGCGGCAGAATCATTTTTCTGTAACATATGTATTAGCTTTTACTTGCGAGATGGTAAAACTCACAAAAGCAGCCCATTCCAGCATCACCACGAATGCTTTCACTGTTTGTATGAGATTGTCTATAAAGAAGCCATTTATCTTTTGTACATAAATGTCACAATCATTCACACTCATTAGATATCAAATTGGATAACTTGAGATGAGTCACAAAGTCCAAAAAAAAAATTTGAAACTTTATATCAATTCATTGCACTTCTACAACCACCCATTTTGAAATTTAAAAGATAAAAATAATTGTGACCTCCATGTACACAAGATAAACGGAGATAAACATTCTCTTTGTAGGCAATCCCAACTTTAACCATGTTTTGTTGAAGTTCCCTAATTTTATTTTATGCCCGAGTGTCATCACCCATGACGGGTCAAAGTGTTGACGCACCCCATTATTGGTGACAAAATATTATTCATCTACATGATAAAATATTGAGAGCATCTTTCAATACTAAAATAGGGAGAGCATCTTTCAATACTAAAAATGACATCTAAAATTCAATAGTAGCATAGAAATTCCATCATAACAAGTACTCATGACCATGAAAACTGTGATATTTCACCATCCTATCAATGATGGCCATTCTTCAATGGTGGACAATGATAGGTTCTATTCTCTCTCCATCATTGTCCAACCAACCATTGATTGCACCTATTAGGGTTCTGGCAAACTTACCCCTAAATAAAATCATCGAAATCACATCGATAATAGAAGTCAATAAAATGCCAAAATCTTACAAGAATTAAAGCTATTGAATCCCCTATTTGACGTCAATGCATCAATTACACAAAACAGGATCACTAAACCTTTGGAGACAGATCATGAAGGCACAATTCTAGCCCTTACTGGAGATCCCTTAACGGGATTGAGAGAGAGGGCGAAAGAGAGAGGGAGAGTGTGTGTGCAAAATTTACCATCTATGTACACATGATCATAAGTGTGACGATCACAAAACTAGCCTTCAACCACATTTTTAATTTCCATCAACGCTAACGAATATGATTGATTCTCACTGAATTTTCTGGATTGAAATAATAATTGAATACATCAGTCAGTCCATAGCAAAGTTACCTTCATCTTGGCCTGTTCATAGTAAATAACAGAGAATCATTTTTGTTTCAATAGGTGGGAGAGAGTATCATTTATTAAAGCCTAGATATTAGTCTGTTAAATCAGATAGAAGAGAATAAAGAGAATAGCATTTAGGTGGGAGAGAGAGTATCATTTATTAAAGCCTATAAATTAGTCTGTTAAATAAGATAGAAGAGAACAAAGAGAATAGCATTTACCTGCTTACTGGGGACAGTTACCTGATATTCGTGACCAATCGTTTAGTTCTGTCCGTGACATTGATCACACAATCTCTGAGGAACCCGATTAATCTCAACCTCTATTGCTCAAGCTCCTATGCAACAAGAAAGCTCAAAATATATGATTGCATAATGTACATGTGTATGCATGTAATGCTCTCTATAAAGCTCTGCCATTACTATTGACAGTCAGTCACATAGTGGCATTCTTCTCATGAAACTCGAGACCCAGAAAACCATTTGAAAATAACCCACTTCAACCATGAGGAAAAGCAGTATTTTGCCAGGTGCTCAGGTAAGTCTGCCTGCAATTGAAATAGTGACAACAATCAAAAATAGCATGTGGCTTGCGTCTCATGCAGAAGTTTTTCTTTCTTCTAAATAACCATGCCCTATGTTAAACAGAAACTCGAGCTAAAGACACTCAAGGTGAAAAAGCAAACAAGGAAAAAAGAAATAGAGAGGTCCAGTAGACTGCATCAACATAAGAAGGCAACTTCAAAAGACAGAAGAAAATACTGATCCAAGAATCAAAGACCACAGCCTGAAGTAAGGGGGCTTTTAGAAAACGAACAAGAGACCAAAAACTCAACATGCTTGTTAAAAGCCAAATCACACCCAAACTATTTTTTGAAGAAAGTAAAACAATAACCCTTGCATGCAGTAGAAATGTCTCAATTGAGGACACCATCTACTTCAAAGTAAGCCATGCCATGCAGTGTTACATGGACACTAACACAGTGTCATGTCTAGCGTCTAGTATATCTTCCCAAAAAATCCAATAAATCTCCAACGCCAACCCGTTCGTACAATTATGCGCCCACATCCGTAACAATAAAATTTAGAAATCTAAATTTATTTTATGCAAGAATAATAAAATAAAATAAAATAAATCTGTTCTGTTATATTTTAAAATAATTTAAACCGCATTTTAGTAAGGGAACAGTTTATATAAGGTTGCAACCTTAAAATGTAGAACTACGGATGCACCTCAAAAATCCATCGGAAAAGGTTGTTTTAATATTGAAAAACCCTCTAATTGATCATCTCGACATCGAGATGAATGACTATGAAAACAAAAAAAGATTTTGAGTCCCAAAAATGGTGCATCTTACAACACATTATCTAGACTATCCATTTTCACGATTTTCATGTATTTATAGATCTACTTGATTTTAATCATTTTTGGAGTTTAAAATTTTATAATTAGATATAAAAATAGATTTTGAGATAATCTTAATAATATTTTACATCAAAATTATATGTTATGATAAAATTTGAAGGTGCACCATAAATGGATTGTTTAAGGTTGCAACCTTATGGAAACCACACCCTTTTAGTAATAATATTTTGTAAATGTATGTAAAACATCTATCAATTTGGTATTTTTGTTGGTAGAACCACTATCTTCAAATTAGAAGCTTGCAAATTGAAATCTCGCAAAAGATAATTTGCTTTTAGACAATAAAACTCATATTAATTTTAGAATTTAAAATAAAAAAAATTATATGCACATGATTATAAGTTAATATCATATTAATAGAAGTTCATAGACAAGCATGTGCATGAATTAAAGGGTTCTTTTATTGATATTGTGTTGTTGACTTTGTCTAATAAAGTAATAAACGAAATATGTGCTATAAATGCATGGGATTTCGGACATTGTAAAGTTATACACAATATACATTTCAAATATAAACATCATTATGCTAATGACATGGTGGTTAGTGCTTTTTGACGTCTCCACAAGCGGTTCTGGGTTCATACATGCACTATAAATGTCGACACGTTGTGTCACCACCAATACGTATAGATAGTGTGTCAGCACAACACAAGGGTGAAGGTCAAGTGTCTATTAACACTAATGCTAAGTGTTTACATTTCCTTTTTTGGGTAATAAATATAGAAAGGTAAAGTATATTTAGTCAAAGATTAAAAGGAAGTAGGGAACAGCATACCTTGCCCCATGCACAAGAATAACCATCAGTTGAAAGCAACCAACTCCCGATTCCTGATTCTGTATCCCCCAATTCACTGAAATCTCCAAATTCCATAGACCTATCCTTGAAATTATTTTTCCTCCTTTTTTTCCTTCTTTTCTCTCTCTTCTTCCTCTTCACCTTACCCAATTCCCCATCACTACCACTCGAAAGCCCATCAGAATCAACCAAAGAGTAACTACGTGATTTTCGAAAACCAATCCCATTCGTTGAAAAGAGAGCCTCCCATGATTCACACACATCTGACTCCTTTAATAGACAATAATGGACCACCCAAGCCTCGAGCCCAAGCCATTTCACAACTTCAGATTTCTCCATGTTTAGACATTCTTTTGCAAGTACCAAATGGTGACCAGGGTTCAAATTTCCACAAGTATCCAAAAGTTCTTCAACCCCATCCTTTTCTGCCTCATGGTCCCCATCATTAAGGAGACGCATTATTTGGCGGCCTTCATTAATAACAGCATTAGTAAGAAGCAATGAATCAAGAGGTGGGCAACAAGCACATGTTGCCAACAAAACTTCAAGCCAATAGGACTGTGAATCTCTAAAATAAGACTTCTTGCATTTATTCTCCATATATGGCTTTCTTGAGGCAAGAAATTTACCAAAAGAATTCAAGAAAAGACAAATATCACTCTCACCAAGAAGTACAAGAAGGTGGCGGCACAAAAATGAAAACTCTACGTCCAATAGAAACTCATTTACTACTGCCCATATATCTTCTGAGTTCTTGGTGTACATCAAATGGATAAATTGCTCAATGAAGAATTTTGAATCTATGAGTAGGATTTCACCACCTTTTACTGACTCAGCAAGCTCTTCTGAGGACCAGAAATCTGGTACATTTTCAAGAAAATTCTCTATTGTTTGGAGGACATCCAAGTCGAGAAAGTAATGGGGCTTTGTAGCAACCATTGCAGGTGACTGCCCATGCTTACCCTTCCACTCAAGCTCCTCCCAACAAATATCCCTATTCACAAACGAAAACTGCGAAATTGCCTTTGCACCTTTTCTATGCTCGGCTTCACCCATACCACCAAAATTTCCAAACCATTGCAATATACGTTTCGGATTCCCTGCTTCCATGGCAACAGATATAAATATGACATGGTAACAGATATAAATATCAACAGCACAAAGAATGAAACGTCTTGGTCAGAATCAAATAAAGAAATTCAACTTAGGTTTGTTATTGATAAGCTTTGTTCACTTCCTATGTTTTCCATACCACGACTGACAATAGATAAGGCTGTATAGTTAACACGGAGTGTGAAATAAAACCTAAGCAATAGAATTTAATAGATTGACAATTGCCTCATTATGCATATCATTGCAGTAAATCGGGAAGCATGCTAAATAAGCATGAATGAAAAGCTTAGTTTTACTGCCCAAAAAAAAATAACGGCAGAAAGTTTCAATGTTCATCTTTGTTTTCCTCTTCCTTGAAGGAAATTTCTTTTCTATTGTACAATGCTTAATTGTCACTCTTATTATCTAGTATTGTGGAAGCTAAGAGAAAAATACTCACCTTTAAAAAACTTCCGCATCATCAAACTCCTCTTGGCTATAATAGGGCCAGCTTTTTGAGGGCTTCGATCAAAAAGAATTTGCAAAAACTGAGAAGCTATGAGATGCTTCCGGGGCGAAGATTTAAGAATGTCCGTAAATAATTCACACTGCTCATGAGGAGTTATTGAATCAATGCAAGAAACTGTGTTGCATAACCAGAGGCGAGCCTCTGACTGTGTGATCGCAGACCAAATAATGGCTTCCAATTTCTGTAAAAATGATATCCTCTCTTTTCCTCCAACACCATGATCATGAATCACAAATATGTTTTCAGACAAAAATAGGTTGATCATTTCGCACTCCAGAAAGAATTTGTATAATTTGATAATAAGCTGCAGAGGAAAGAAATTAAACAAATAACTTTGCAACAAGATACAGAACAACCACATGTCACATATCTCGCAGTAATAACACACTATATTTTCACAATGCTAATTTGTTATAATCGAAACATAGCTGTCACCTCAGAGGTCTGACAAAATGTGAATGATACAGAGAAAACAATCTACATACTGACTGGACCCAGCCAAACCAATACACTAGTTGATTTGATGTTTAGTCTAGTTTTCATGAATCATAACATGGAGTCAGCCTTCAAATGCATAAAACTACACAAACATTAAAACAACAAACTCCTTCAGGAGCAGTTCTGCAAAAACTGCAAACCAATAAACAGATTCGGGAAACTTATATTAAATTTGAAATGTTCCCAATCAGGCCAATCCATGAAACATCAATTACATGAATATAGGCATCACCAATTCAGTAAACACTGATTTGTTAAAATATAGAGATTCCCAGTCTTTCATTTTGTAGATAGGTAATATGGTTTCAAATCCACATCCTTAAATTTTAACAATGTTAGAAAAAAAAAAAAACCCAAGACTATCGTGATGAAAACATATTAATACTTAATACTAAAGGGTTGAGAGTGAAGCATAACAATAAAGAACGAACCAATTTTGAAGGATCAAAGCAACCAAGCCACAAGAAACCCAATGTACAGAACAATGAAATATGCACATAAGAGAAATATTAGACGACCATTACCAAGATTTTATCCATTTAATTAAAAAAGAAAAGAAAAGAAAATACCATTTAAAGAAGTCCAAATACACTTTAAATTTAATGAATCAACTACACTTTAAATTTAAGTCTAAACAATAATCCACTAGAAAACTTAACAAAAACACCAAAAATAGTTCAAATTCTCAAGACACCTGATATAGGTAAGGCCAAAAGAGTTCCATACACTCTCTTAGGAGACAGATATCGCAAAACCCAATTCTTGTTATTCAAAATAGCTCTCTCTTGAACGCCACTTGAAGCACACAAATAAATTGGCTTCAAGGAGACAGGTTAAATGCCGCACTGCTTGCAGAGTCTGTAAAGCTACTAGAAATCTCAATTTTTCCCAAAATCCAGCAGCTAGAAAACCAATTCAAAGTAAGCGAATAAATTTTCAAAAAAATTTCTATCTAACCAATTGAATAAAAGATCAAATTTGAGAATTCAGAGATTCCCAACCATTATTTACCCCCTTATAAAACACTGCACAAACATAAAAGGAAGAATAAACGATATTTATCCAAATTTCATTGCACAGATTTGTTTTAATAAATTGGGGTTTACCCATACATTGAACGGTATGAATAAGAAAAGGAATCAAAATAAAAATAAAAAACAGGAAATGCCAAATTATATCATTGTAATACTTGTGTGGAGAAAAATAAAGAAATTACATAGTAGATGACCAATTATCACAATAAGACATAAAAGATAGATGAAGACCAATTATCACAAATAGGAGATAAAATATTGATGAAGCCTAATTTCACGAAATTATTACCTCAAATCATCTATTTGAACCTCAATTCACAGAGAATATGAAATGCTAGGCCTGAATCTCTGCACCGATAATTTGAAAACCTGAGCTTTAACCTCCAATTGATTTTTTCTTTTTTTTTCTTTTTTTATTATGGCAAACCTAAGGTTTTAATGAGGGTTTACTTCAAGGAGTTGGAGTTCAAACCATCGCGAACAGTCCAAGTCCGGGAAGGAAATGAAAGCTAGGGTTTTTTTGCCGGGAAAATGAGCCCATGTTTCGTTCAAGGGGGGAGGACCGAAATTTTATTAATGCCAAAATGGGCCTCTCCCTGGACTTCGCCCGCGTTTTTTTGAGCGTTATAGCGTACTCCCGCAGATTCATACTGTACCCTTACTTCCTCATGCAAAATTGTGTAAGAAGAGTTTATTGATTTTAGATTTTTGAAATTTTTAGGCATTTGGGTGTGATTCATATAAAGTTGTCACCTTACTTGTAAAAATAAGGTTTATACAAGTAAAGTTGTGATATTATACACTATTAATTTTAGTTGAATGTATAAATTTGGCATTTCTTTAAAAACTCTAAAAAAATAGCATGTCTTTTAAGATAGTTTGAAATCTATACAGTCTAAATAAAATAAATTGAAAATTATATAATGAGATTATTTATCTTTGATATAAGATAGTCACCATTATTCTTAACCGCTAGATGTAAAATTGGGTGGTTGTATTTAATTAATTGACCAAACTCAAAGTTCAAAAAAAAATTTCTCGAACTTTGTGACACACTCAAATGACGTGTTTGATAACAGAAAGCAAGAACATGAACTGGAAATTGGAAGTTACTGTATACCTGTAACTTAGAAGTTACTTAAAAAGTTAATGGTTTCTGTGTTTGATAACTTACTTGGAAGTAAAAAAGTTCAGAGTTTATGTGTTTGATAACTCTTGAGATATATAGTAAATATCTTATATTTATATTTACATAGATAATAATTTAAATAGAAATATATAATTTTTATAACATACTATAATATATGATATACTGTATTTTATATTTATTTTTAATATATATATATATATATTAAATTATCTTATATTACATAAAATAATATAATATATTATAATATATTTTTATTATATAAAATATATTATACATTGTATATATAATATATTATTATATACATATATTATATTATATATAATATATAAATATTATAATATAATATATTATATATTATATTATAATATATTATATATTATAGTATAATATATTATATTATATATAATATTATATTGTATTATATATTATATATTATACATTGTAAATATTTTTATTATATAATATTATAAATAAAATATTATATATATATATATATATCATGGACAAAATAAAAACCATGGAACTTTACTCAAGCCTAAAAGGTGGGAACTTCAACAGTGAAAAACAGTTTTCAAATTATCTTTCATTTTTTATCAAACACGTAACATGAACAGTAATAAGTAAAGTTCTTTCTTCCTCTTCTAACTTCCTGTTATCAAACACACCCAAACTTTCCAATTTCACATCGGATAGTTATAACTTATAAATAATTGTGACCTCTCCGTAGCAAAGATAAATGTTCTCATTATATACATGGGTGCGGTTTCAATAAGGTTGTAACCTTAAACAATCCAATTAAGGCGTGCCTTCAATTTTTATTATAACATGTAATTTTGGTGTAAAAAATTCTTAGAATTATTTAAAAATGTATTTTCATATCTAATTATAAAATTTCAAACTCCAAAATTAGTTAAAATAATGTAGATCTATAAACATGTGAAAATATTGAAAATGGATGGTCTAGATAATGTGTTGCAAGATGGACTATTTCTGCAATTCAAAAACTTTTTTTTTATACATTCATACATCTCGATGTCAAAATGATCAATTAGATGGTCTTTCAACATTAAAACAACCTTTTCCGATAAATTCTTGAGGTGCATTTGTACTTCTACATTTTAAGGTTACAACCTTATATAAACTTTTCCCTATATACCATCATTAATCTCATTTGCTAAGTAAGTTTGCAACCTCATATGAATTGTTTCATTATTTGCAAATGGATGCATTGACCAATAAAATTATTTTGATTTGTTTTGACTTCTTCTAATTAATTTCGATTCAAGATTGCAAGAAAGTAGTATGCTCTCCTATTGCCTATTACTTCCATGTATTTGAAATTTGAACATTTTAGATCTTTTTTCCCTTGATGTGTGTTCCCACAAACTTAGGCGGCTTCCTTGAATTGTCCAACAATCACTTTTTTTTATTCTGACCTTAAGGTTCATCTTATAAATAACAATACTCGGTGACGAACCGGGCGGAATGGTTTAATTAGTTAGACTGACATGTTTAGTCTAAAGTAAAAATTGAGGCTAATGTAGATCTGACGAGCCAAAAAAAGATGCAACTTTTTTTGTAATGTACTTTCATATTTTTATATGTTTTCAAAGTTTAGCCCAACTAATTTAGCCAACAGCTCGACAACTTTTGACTGGACCTGACCCCTCATAGGTTTGGTCATCGATCCAATATTGATAACATTGTACATGGCAAATAGCATTATATTAAAATAAATGTTTCCTTGTGAAAAGCAATTCGAAAGATCAAATGAATAATGCTCTTGAGATAATATCGACCATTCACTCCCTTGGGTAAAACCCTTTGAGGAGTACTTTTAGGACCCAATATTTGGGAATCTCTTAACCTAGTGACCAACCAAAAGTAGATAATTGTAGTCAATTTTTTTTTCCAGCTAATAAGGATTGGCTACATGAATCTCGATTAGTCATTATACTCTATTAAAGGCAATACCTTTAGTGATCTCACTACTTTGAAACATTTTCTTTTGATCCTACCCCCTATTTTTTTTGAGTCTTCTACTTGAACTAACTTGTACCTCATAATAAGTATTGTACTAGGTTTATGTCACACATGACCCGCCTACCTAAGTCTATTATTTATTATCTTATTGCCTATTGGTGTCACATCTAAATTTTTTCAAATTAATGTATTTTAAATTTTTTCCCTTTTTATATCGAGAAGATAAAAAGCAATAACATTCTAATTTTTAGTAAAGAACCCAACTTTTGGACAAAACATTTAAACGGCAAGAGTTTATATAGAGCAGAGGCTCTAAACAATCAAATTAGAGCCCACATCACAAATATCACTAGAAGATATTGTTTTGATACCTAAATATCATCAAATTGATTATCTCGACGTCAATACGCATGGACATGAGAAAACAATGAATTTCAAGTTTTGAAAATAGTGCATCTTGTAACGCGTTTTTTGACTGTCAATTTTCAAGATTTTCATGATCTGCTTGATCTACACTATTATTTACGCTTTAAATTTTATAAGTAGAGATGAAAATATATTTTAAGGCTATCACAAAGATTGCCAATATTGAAGCCACATTTCCCGACACTATTTAAAAATGCGATTTACTTTGATTGTTTAGAGCCTCGGCTCTATACAAACTGCACGTGTTGGATAACCATTTTTCTTATTTTAACTAAATCAAACAATAAGCATTTCGAGACAAAAGAATGCGCTTTTAAAAGTCATGTTGAGATAATGGAGAATTTGATCTCCAAATACCAGGTTTGGATCGAGAACTATTGTATTTATCGTAAAAAAACAAAAACAAAATGGTAGTATATTGTGATGGTAGAGAGCAGTGTTTCAAAACCTAGCAATCTAGTTATGACATCGCCATTACGAGCTGGGAATCAACCGGATTTAAATTAATTCCGGGAAGGTAGCCCGTCCCCACCCACCCTACTCCCACCAAAAAAAATGTCCCCCTTTTTATTTGGAAATATATACAATGAGACTGTTTACTTTTGATACAATGAGGTCACAATCATCATTAACCATTAAATTTTAATATAATGAGTTTAAAATCAAGGATTTGAAATCGGTCGGTTGAAGATGTACTATTGTTTGGTTACAAAGTCAAAAATAAAATTTCAAAAATGTTGTGACACATTTTCATCTATTGGATTTCACATCTAATGGCTAAAAAATGAATGTCTTATAGTATGCAATCCTATTTATTTTGTTTTTTTCGCACTTATTTGATATTTTCTTCAGCCCCCTCATGCCCTCATCATAAATGCCCATTTTAATTTTTTATTGTTATTTTTAATATTTCCCAAGTTGTCGATTTGGACTGATTATGATGACCTTATATAGATCTAGAATGATCCACCTCAGACCCCGAATGGCCCACCTACTTGACCTAATCTAGATTGTCAATTCGTGATTGGGAGTCTTGGACTAACATTTTACATACTTACCTATACTATTTTAAACCCTGGATCAGTGAGGCAGATCATCCAATCATGATATGTGCCATATTGTTTGACGATGATCCAGATCCAATTTGAGTTAACGAACGAGAAAATATTAAAAATAAATAAAATAAAATAAAAATTAATTGAAGAGTTTATGGGATAGGAGTTTAGAAAAGGAATATTAGATAGGCGAAAAAAACGGAATATGCACCAAGTTTGAGAAATTTTAATACAAAAAGTCACAAAATTTGATATAAAAAAAGTATGTCTACAAGGAGGTCATAATTATTTATAACCATTTGTTATGAAATCTAATAGTTTGGATATGTTACTAAGTTGAAAAAAATTTATTTTGATGTTTGAGCTTGGTCAATAGAATAAATGCTGCCAATCAAATTTCACATTTAACGGTTAAGATTAAATGTGATTACTTTATACGAAATATAAATACTCTCAATATATGCTTTACCAAATATATATGTCGAGTCTTCGGGGAAAATTAGGCCTGGAAGCATATTATTCCACAGAAGACTCGGGCGTGACTTCTTCCAATCAAAATCTCGGTTCGGATCGGTCGGTTTTTAAATAAAAGCCACTGCGTTTTCAACACTACGCTTTCCCGTGAATAAAACCATGGCTCTCGCAATGAAATTACATTTTTCACGATGTTAGTATCATCAAACCCACCAAACACAGTTCTGAGTTCCTCTCCATTTCCAGGTAAAAACCATAGTTTATTTTCCTACAATTCGATTATATTGCTTAAATTCATCAATGGAGATACCCATTTGAAATCCCCCTCCTTTTTTTTTCTTCTGTAAATTCAGCAAGAAGGTCGCGGATCAAGGTCAAAATGAAGCCGAATTATACGATTCCTGGTAGAGAGTTTCAGCCTTTTGAAGCCCTAAATGGAATTGGAGACCTGGCCCGAACTGGCCGCTTTGCGGTAATTCAAGCTGATAATTTTGCATACATATTAAAGATCTAGATATATATTTTTGTATACATTTTTAATTCGCATATGATTTTTTGCATATTGACACCTGCAATGCATGATCATTTGATAGAATGTACTTCGTGGTTCTTTGATTTTTCTCATCAATTGGGCTTCTAAGTTTTTTCGCAGGTTCTCTCTCTTTCTCCTCTGCAAATTACATTCATTTGGTTAATATGAAACATTTCTGTTTAGTGTTTACTGACATAGAACGTGTTTACATTTTTATTTATTTATTTATTTTGGCAAGGGATACAAAAGTTTAATGGAGTGAATTTTTCAGAAATCCAACATATGATTAACTCAAGCTAATCAATAAGTTTTTTTAAAAAAATTGAGCTATTTAATGAATATCTCGACTCAACATCCACATTAATGTGGATTATTTTCTGTATTGCATGTGCTTTTTTTTTTTATTCTGTTGGTAGTTATTTGTTTTTACTTTTTAGATAGCCCAATAGTTTTGGTTTCATTTAAAATTGAATTTCTAATTACTATCATTTATGTATTTTACCACTTATTAACATTTTATATCTTTGTCCAGGCCTGGTTGTTAGATCAATTTGGTGTCCTTCATGATGGAAAACAGCCTTATCCGGGAGTAATTTCAACTTGTATGTTGAGTTTGTTCGTTTTAGTGAATTTGGTACATTTTTTTAGCATATTTCACCTGGTTTAGTTTGTAGTTTACTCATATGATCAGTAACTTTCGTTATGTTTTAACTTTTTTTGTGTATAATAGTAGAAAAATTAGCAATTTCCGGTGCCAAGATGGTTATCATTAGCAATTCTTCGAGGCGAGCGTCGATAACCATGGAGAAGATGGAGAGTCTAGGATTTGATTCTTCTCTTTTTCTTGGTGCAATAACAAGTGGTGAATTGACCCATCAATACCTTCAAAGGTTTGAATTTTGCTACTTCAAATATTTTGAGATAAGGTGTGTTGGAGTTTTAAGGCAACTGAACTTGGATTTAATATGCCTGGTTATGGATATAAAAGGGAGAGAAAAAAAGGAAATTTATGACTAAGAATCAAGTATGACAATTGTCAAAAATGCAATTTTATATGACGATGATAGTTTTATTTGCAAAATGCCTTGAAGAAATGGGATTTGTGATAGAAAAACATTAAAGGGAGCTCATTTCTTATAGTTGGGCTGCTGTTTTATATGCTTGAGGACAATGTTTTTCTTATAGCATGAGCCATATTTGATAGAAGGGTGTTGTTATGGCTGGCCGCTTCTTGCATGGAATGTCAGTGTTATTTATCTTTGTTGAATCTATGCATACTAGCTACTGGTAATTTTGGTATGAATGTCATGTCATCATGTGCAAATTGGTTCATGAGTGAATGGTGCTCATCATAAAGAAGAATGTGTAGAAAAGTCCTAATTGTTTTAATGATGTCCATCCACTGTCTTTGTGTTATTCACACAACCAACATTTTGGGGATTGGTCAGCAGTGTGGGGTTTTGAGGGCTTTTTTTAGCGAGATGTCCAGAGTGGTGACTTTTACATGGTGTGTTTTAACTGTCAAATAGACAATAGCTTTTGGTTAATATACATCTACCTTCTCATCCATATAGGCATGCTTTGCATTTTCAATTTTCCAATATTTATTTGACCTGTTGTTTTTCCCCATAATCCCATATTTACTGTTGTTTCCTATTATTTCAAGGCATACCTGTGATTTTCTCTATTTCCTCTTGTGAACCCTAGTAGGATTTGCTGACTTTGTAAACAGTGATTCATATTTATAAGAGAAACCAGACACATCCTTGAGAATTTCGTTCATTAACCCGAGTTATGATAGTCAAATTGTCTCTGTTTTTCTTAGTCAAATTGTCTCTGTTGTTCTCACCATCCAAATCTACCTCCCTGATCGATGTACCTAATCATGAAGACCATCTTTGTCAAGTTAAATGTCATTAATGTCTGTAAATGACATGCTTAACCTCCGATCAAAAGAAAAAGGAAAAATGAGAACTGCTTAACCTTAATAATAGCCAAATAACTTGAATTTGAATGAGAGTGCAACATAAGTTCACTCGTTTTTTTAGTGTTCATGCAGGATGACTTCTTAGACATGATGCTATTCATTATCATTGCTCTTGGATATTGTTTTGTTTATTAATCCAATTAAGCGGAATCAAATGTTGTTGTGTAATTTGGAATCTCATTGGAGCTATTTTTAGGGGTGATTGGAGCTATCATTTTATAGTAAGATTCAACTAATGCGTCATTTTATGCATGTGAGATAATCTATAGTTTTCTTGGTTTAGTGCCTTTTTGTGGGTAAGTAGCGGGTACAAATTTCCTTGAAAAGAAAACCAAAGACAAAAAAGAAATGTACTAATTCTTACCATCTAACTGGTTTCTCTACAATCAACAGAAGAGATGATCCATGGTTTGCTGCATTAGGAAGATCTTGTATTCATATGACTTGGAACAATCGTGGTGCTATATCTCTTGAGGTGTGTTATCATCTTTGAAATGGTTCATAATCTTCAGATGCTTCCTCAATTTGAATCGATTGATGGTCTTACTAGTACTATTTCCTGATTGGTTATGAAAAAGATTTTTGCAGCGTTTTTTATTTATGTATTTCAGCATTGCTTGGCCTTAATAGAAAATAATGCACTTTTTAAGCTTCTAGTTTTGAGTTAAATTTCAACAATCATCTTTCACAATTTACTTTGCAATTTTTTGGTATTACAAACAAATAGCATTATTGCAGCAGCAGAGTATTTATTCCCAATATGAAGTTGAACACAATGAAGGTGGTTTCAATCTAAATTGTGCATGGTGTGTTTTCTTTTCTTCTGTAGGGCTTGGGCTTGCAAGTTGTGGAAAATATTGATGATGCAAGTTTTATTTTGGCGCATGGCACTGAAGCTCTGGGCCGTAGCAATGGTGACCCTCTTCCTATGAGTCTTGAGGATCTAGAACAAATCTTGGAAGGTTGTGTCAAAAAGAACATCCCTATGATTGTTGCAAATCCAGATTTTGTGACTGTGGAAGTGAGGGCTTTGCGTGTTATGCCCGGTGAGTTTGTAAACACTTCGTCACACTAATTGCACTGTCATCAGCTATATTTGGATCATTACTGATCAGAAAAAAAAAATGTATCATATGTTTGCCTATGCTATTGTGATTGTATATTGGTCCATATTGAAGTAAGGAACCTGTTAATCAAATCAGCCCCATAGATTTTAAAAATATAATTCAATAGGAGCTGTAGTCCAAGAAATCTAATATTTAAGACGTTTGTATTCGCACTCCCTAGTTTTTTTGGTGTTGAATTTTTATTTTGTGGATAACTTATAACTTTCAGGTTCCACTTGTAGAAACTTCTTCTGCAACAAAATAATATGTAATATAGATTAGAACAGGTCAGTAATGCTTGAGGAAAATATACCATGATCTGATGTACTATGGAAAGCCATAATTCGTTGGGAATCACTGTCTAATCAAACGATAGAGAATGCGACCTAGCAGAACAAGACATGATTTCAATGGCGAGTCCCCTCTCTCACCATCTCATTATTTCTTTTCTTTTCTTTATGCACTTAGTCATTCATGTTATTGCATTGGACGGCGATGACCCAATCAATGTTGTTTTTTTCCCAGAACATTGGATTGTAGTAAACTTTCCTGATGATCTGTAAAATATTTGGTCACAAAAAAGCAACACTTGTACACACTGAGCTTTATTTGAAATTTCTCAAAAGATTTTCTTGCAGCTCTGATTTTTTCTTTTCTCTGAAAGTTTGCAGCTATTCTCTTCTCTTATTGCATGTGCCATGGATGATTTTTGAGGATCACATATGTAGGTTTAACTTCATCCAAAAAGTAAAAGAAGAAAGAAAGGTGTTGCAGTATAAACTTCCATAGCTTGCAGAGATCAACGAAATAATTTTTTTCCAAATATGTCATCTATGTTCCTTTTCATGTCATCTTTTATCAGGTACGCTGGGTGCAAAGTATAAAAAGCTTGGAGGCAATGTGAAATGGATGGGAAAACCAGACAAGGTATTTCAGAACCCATTTGGGTTGGTAATTGTTGTGGGAGTTGTTATTATTTGAGAAGCTTTTAGAAGATAATGGGGAATTTTAACAAAGAAAGCATCTAAGAAAGCAAAATCCAAAAAGCATATAAAAGGCAAAAAGGAAAATGAGAAAAAAATTCAGTTTATATTGTACATTAAAAAATTGTATGATGATCTTATTGAGATTTTTATTTCTATGGTTGACCTATAACCTAAATTTTAATCGAAAAATTCATTTACTCAAAAGATAAGGAGGAAAGCCTCACCAATCCAATATTATATCTTCATTTTTCAAATGTTAAATTCAAAACTAACATGGAATGTCATAAATATTATTACCTTTTTATTTATGTAATTCACTGCTACTTGTATGCAACTATGCATTGGAAGGCCTGTTCGTTAATGATGTTCATAAAGCTTTATTTTCATTTTCTGTCTTGCAGTTGATATATGAATCAGCAATGCAGATGGCAAAGGTGGATGCCAGTGATTGCATTGCTATTGGAGACTCTCTCCATCATGATATTAAGGGCGCAAATTCAACGGGGATTCAGTCTGCTCTCATCACAGGTGGCATTCATGCTGATGAACTTGGGTTGACTGATTATGGGGAGGCTACTGCTTCTACAGCCATTGAAGCTCTTACCTCCAAATACGGTGCCTACCCATCTTATGTTTTACCTGCCTTTAAATGGTAGAAACTAGAAAGAGTAGGGTAGGGGGCTAACCTCATCATCGTTAAGAGAGGATTAGAGACACATAGGATTTTGATAAAATGTATGGGTTCTTCATGACTGGTGTATATGGAGTGTAGTTATTAACTTGATTGAAATTAGTGAAAAGTTGTGAATCGACTGTGCCTATGCCTAAGGGTGTGCGTGTGTGAAAGGCGGTGGCTACACTATATTTCCCTTATATGATTTTGGGGGATTATAGTGGGGTGTGGGAGGAATTGAACTTGAGATGTAGCATTGCTTGATGTCAACGTTTTACCCCTTTGGCCCGAGCCCACTTTTGACTCGAGAGCAATATTTTTATAGAAGTCCAGAGTCTCTTGGAGCTACTATTGCATAGGTAAATGCCTCACTTGCTCAAGTACTGCTTGGAAACATAAATTAACTGCATCGTTTAGTGTGCAGTTTGTCTTGAATACGTTTACCCAGAGCCAAGAAGCATCCATTGTTTTTTTTGTGTGATTGATATTTCTACCATAGTGAAAATATACCAGCAGTAGAAAATATATCAATAAATATCAATAAACAAATGAGATGGTATCAGTTCAGTTTTCATAATAATACCGGCGATTTTTTATTTGGATCGTCGATCTATATGGGAATCGGTTCCCTCTAACTCTCCACCCTATAAACTTCAATTTTAATTTTATTTTGTTTGTTTTTAAATATTTTTCTAGATTACCAATCCAGACTGATCAATCTAACGATTTGACATGGATTTGTGGGTCAAAGATCTGCTCCACCAATCTGTGTTTTGATAGTGCATTGAGATTCGAGCATAATATCAACCTGTAATCTAAAAATCACCGATCTGAGTTATATCCAAATTAGCCAGGGTCTCATAATCGCCCCATTTATTATAAGTCACTTGATCCACTGTGGCAAACGGGGCGATTTTCAGGTGAAAATAAGGAATTGTTTGATTTTTTAAATCGTGCAGTCTTCTTCTTCTTCTTTTCTTTTTTTTTTTTTTTTTTTTTTTTTTTTTTGTGAGAATAACAACTTGTAACTTTTCCACTCATTCATTTTCTATGCATGTATACTCTGGAATGTACAAAATAGTCCACAAAGAAAAAGAAATACTACAGAACTTTTAAAATGATAATAACTGTCATTTTAGTTTTATGACACTCCCTTTTGCCAACTGATCTGCATCCTCATTAGCTTCACAGAAGCAATGGTCTCTGTTGAATCACTAGTTAGGGTATCTCTAAACTCATCAATAATAGGATTTAATCTCTATACTGGGGTTGTTATACACCCAAGCTCAGGTTCACAATATTTAGAGAGTCCCCTTCTGCAAACTTCCACCCAAGTTTTGCATATGTTGAGCACTGCAGCAAGCAAGGAATTAGGTTCATCTTCATTAGCCGACTTGGTCCTACAAGGGCCTGAATTAAACTAGGGAAATTTATCAAAATACCAATTAGAGATAAAATATTTAATATTTAATATTTTGCCCAACTGGAACTATTCCAACTCAAGGTAATGACTTTTCTATAGGTATTTTTAATGAAACGAATATGGGGAAAATGTTAAATTATTCATCATAGGTCAAATGATAAATCTCAATGCTACCTATGATGACACCACCAAGGCTTCCCCTTCCTAAATTTTTTATAGAACCCCTGTCAAAATTCAGTTTCAAATTTTCATGTGGTGGCTTTCATTTATACTTCCTTGAAATCATGCGAGTTTTTCGGTTTAATGAATTCTAACCTTTCTTGTCTCACTTGTCCGCCGTTTTTTACAAAATATTTTATGTTTGTTATCTATTTGCTCTCAAACTATACCATTTAAAACATTGCCCAATAGAAAAAGTTTATATAAAGTTGCAACCTTAAAATGTAGAATTAAAGATGCATCTAAAAAATCCATTGGGAAAAGTTGTTTTAACGTTGAAAACCCTCAAATTGATTACCTCGGCATCGAGATGTATGAATATGAAAAAAAAACGATTTTGAGTCCCAAAAATAGTGCATCTTGAAACACATTATCTAGACCGTCCATTTTCAATATTTTAATATGTTTATAAATCTACTTGATTTTAACTGGAGTTTAAAATTTATAATTAGATATGAAAATAGATTTTGAAATAATCCTAAGAAGTTTTTACAACCAAATTACATGTAACCGTAAATTTTGGAGGTACGCCTTATTGGATTGTTTAAGGTTTTAACCTCACAGAAACCACACCCATTTCTAATTGCTTATAAGATCTACATCACATTTTTTTTTATCCAAGCCCCAAGTCAATAGAATCAAGAGAAGAAAGTTTGTTTTTATAAACTAATGGTTTCTTTTTTAGTTTTTAAAAATATTTTTTAGTTTCTGTTTCTGATTTTAAAAATCAAAGTTCCAAACAGCAAGTCAGGATCTCTTTTTTTAATTCCCAAAAGGTATTATACTCCTAAAAGAGTATACTATCCATTTACTCCCTCAAGTAAAACCGTAAATCAAATTTAGAACCCCCAATTCTGAAGATGTAACCTCTTCAACCCATAGATTAATGTCAATAAACAGAATTACCTAATTACACCCTCCATGCACTTGAAAAAGCTAATGTCTCAACATGACATAGAGACCGTCAATCTTTTAGAACTAAAATCCAAGCGTTAAAAAATTCAACATTCAAATGTTTCTTTTGAATATAATCATCCGGTGATTATCAGGTGGTTCCCATAGATAAAAAAAATCTCCTCAGCTATTCTGCGGAGATGTACACTATATTCCTTTGGGATCAGAAAATGAATTGAAACTGCGATAGTGATGGAAGTTCTTAACTTCTTAATCAATAAATTCAGATATGAAACAGGGTGACAATAAATTCCAGACTTTTTGTTATCTGTTAAAGGTGTTCCAAAAATGTGACAAATGAAAAATCTAATCTAAAGAGACTTAAATCATTTGAAAGTTTATTAAAGTCGAATTCTAACATATTATTTGCAATTTTCTATTTTTAAAGGGGAAAAGTTTGTATAAGGATGCAACCTGTAGAACTACGGATGTCCCTCAAAAATCCATCGAAAAAGGTAGTTTTAATGTTGAAAAAGCCTTTGATTGATTATCTCGACATCGAGATGTATGACCATGAAAAATAAAAAGATTTCAAGTCTTAAAAATAGTGCATTTTACAACATATTATCTACACCGTCCATTTTCAAGATTTTTATATGTTTATTGATCTACTTGATTTTAACCATTTTTGAAATTTAAAATTTTATAATTAGATATAAAAATAAATTTTGAGATAATCCTAAGAACATTTTACTTCAAAATTATATACCATGATAAAAGTTGAAGGTGCACCTTACCTCTACAGCTACGAATGCATCCTTATGCCAACTGCATCCTTTTTAAAATCCATTATATTATTTTAAAATTTTCTTTAAATAGTTAAATTTTTTAAAAGGTGCAGCTTGTATAGAGCCGAGGCTCCAAACAATCAAAGTAGAGCGTACTTTCAAATAGTGTTGAAAAATGCGGTTTCAATAGTGGAATTCTTTATGATAGCCTTAAAATATATTTTCATCTTTAATTATAAAATTTCAAGTTTAAAAAATAGTGTAGTATGAAAACTTGAAAATCTTAAAAATTGATGGTCCAAAAATACATTACAAGTTTTATTATTTTCAAATTTTGAAATTCTTTTTCTTCTCATGTCCATGCATCTTGATGGGGAGATGATCAATTTGAGGATATTTGGGCATCAAAACAACTTTTTTTAGTGAAATTTTTGAGGTGGGCTCTAATTTGATTGTTTAGAGCCTAGGCTCTATATAAACTTTTTCCTTTTTTAAATCCATTTTGTTATTTAAAAATTATATTTCACTAATCATTGCATGAACCCAAATTCTCTTGCTGTAATATCAACTCCTTTTTTAATTGGGAAAAGTTCATATAGAGCCCGGGTTCTAAACAATCAAATTAAAGCTTATCTCAAAAATTTTATTAAAAAAAATTGTTTTGATGTCAAAAAATCTTCAAATTGATAATCTCGACGACTTCAAGACATGAGAAATTATTTTTTTTCAAATTTTAAAAGTAGTATATTTTGTAACATATTTTTAGAGCTCTCCCTCTACAGTATTTTTTAAATTATAAATTTTGTAAATAAAGATGAAAATATAATAAAAGGCTATCACCAATATTTTCAGCATCGAAACTACATTTCTCGACACTATTTGATTAGGTAGGCTCTGATTTGATTGTTCGAAGCCTAGGCTCCATATAAACCGCACCCTTTTAATTTTCCCTCGCATTTGGCAGTGTCCTCTCTCTCTCTCTCTAGCTGAAGGCGCCATCAATGGCGGTCCTCTTCCAACATTTTGGCTTCTATCGTCAACTCTCAGGCCCTTACTCTCATTCCGATCCTTCCTCCTTCTTCTCAGCAAACCCTATCTTCTCAATCCCCCGTGTTTTCTCTCCTTCAAACCCCAGTCCTAGACCACGAACCTTCATCTCCCTTTCCTCGTCGCCAAATCCCCAATCTGAAAACCCTAACCCTGAGATCAGGCGGAGAGGCAGGCCAAAGAAGAAGGCGAAGGAAGTACAGGCTGATACTCCATCTAATTCACATAAAAATGACGAAGTTTTTGTGCCCAAAATGCCGAGGCGTGGAAGGAGAAGTGAGGCGATGGAGGTTGAGGATTTTGTGAGGAATTCTCTGCAAAAAACTTTTGCATCTATTAAAGAGCAGAACTCTGGGCGATTGGATGAAGTGAAGGGGATTTTCAAGGAAAAAAGGGATGAGAAAACTGAACAGGTTTGCTTTAGTTTATTATTTTTTATAATTTTTCAGTTGCTATTGATGAATTTATTAAGAGATAATTTTTAGCCAACTTTAAGGGATAATGATTTAGAATCTTTTTTATGTTATTTCAAAATTTCAGTTTAAAGGATGGGCTCTTTGAGATGGTTTCCTAATTCTCATTTTCATATAATTATCCTCAAAGTAGATATTTATGCTTTAATTATAACATAACCCCCCCCCTCCCCCTCCCCCAAAAAAAAAAAAGGTAAAAAAAAGGTCTGATATTTGGAAGCATTTTTGGCTCTAGAAATATAAACTTTTAAGAAGTTTTGCAGAAACTGAGAAGTAGATGTTGGTAACAGCACAATTTTTTTCTTGAAGTCTTTCATTTTTAAATTCTTTTTCAAGTAAGTATCTCAGTTTTTCTCTCTCCTTAGATTTTCCTGAGGAAAATTAGAATTTCAAATCTCTTGAGAAATTGCTTTTCTTGAAAATTTCCAAGAATGGGAGATGTCATCATTGACGAACCTACAGTAACCCTTCTGGTTTTTGCAATTCTTTTAGCTGATTGACTTAAAGTCGGTTTATTTGTTACAGGAAATGCATCATAATTATTTCATTGTAATTAGAAAAGGAAAATTTAGTTAGAATTACTGGGGTTATTGGTAAACACTAAAATAATCAGAAAGAGTGAATGATGGTGGAGCAAGTGTTAGGTCATTCAAAGACACTTCTATTGTTTTTCTCATGGCTCAGCGTTTGGATAAAATGTTCTCATTTACTTGTTTATCTTATTTCTATATTTTTCTTAAATATATTGCACACTTTATTGTTCTTGGGTATTTTGTTTGGGTGTTGCAATCATTGTTGTAGCATGCTCACCCCATCAAGTAGTGATTTGGATTATCCCTCTTTGCCAACAAGTGGTATCAGAGCTCAAGGAAGTCGTGTAGTATTTTTGAGAAAATTGCAACTCACAAATTTGAGGTGGAGAAGTTCAATTGGAGAGATGATTTGAAATTTGGAAATTAAAAATACAGATTTTTTGATACATCAAGGGCAACACAAGGCATTATTTGCAAAAAATAAGAAATCGGTAAATATGACCGATGAGGATTGGGAGGAACTTGATATAAAGGCACATGCTACTATTTACTTGTGTTTGGAGAATGACATGTTGTTCAATATTGTTGAGGAAAAGACGACAAATGATTTGTGGGAAAAATTGAAAAGTTTGTATCAAACAAAATTGCTCACGAACCAAATTTGATTGGAAAGAAAATTGTATTCATTGAGAATGAAAGAATGTGCAAAAATGTTGGAACATTGAATGAATTTAATGATATCATTTGTCAACTTGAAAGTATTGCTGTGAGAATGGAGGATGAAGATAAGGCGATCGCCTTACTTTGTACATTGTTGGAATCCTATGATAACCTTGTTTTCACATTGATTTGCGGTAAAGAAGATTCTCTTGATGTGTCCCCGGTGTGTGGTGCACTTCTTGCCAATGAACTTCGAAAAAGGGCATCAATTGTTGATTCAATGGGTTCGAGGATGGATGTCTTGTGGAAAGAGGCCAGTTGGATGATCAAGTTGGTTGATCAAGAGATTCTTCAAGTAGCCGATCAAAGTTGAGGGCCTTATGGCAAAAGTTGTTGGTTTTGTGGCAAGCCTGGTCATATAAAGAAAAACTGTTGGCAAAGAAAAAGGCCAATTTCTCAAAAGGTTTCGGTTTGGGAATGAAAGGGCAATGTTAGCCTAAGAATGAGGCTCACTAAGTTGAAGAATCAACATGCGCTTATATTGAAGATGAGTTATTGATGGTGGGATGTAATCCCATAAACTATCAAAGTTGGGTACTTGATATGGAGTCACATATCATATGTGCCCACATAGATCGTGGTTTAATGCATATGAGCTACATGAGGGTGGTTTGGCATCAATGGCGAAATAATTCAATGAGTAAGACTATAGGAATGGGCACGATTTGCATGAGGATGTATGATGGGATGGTTGGAATACTTGAAAATGTGAGAGATGTGCCGAACTTACAGAAGAGTTTGATTTCACTTTTCTCTCTAGATATGGAATACTACAAATTTATCGGGCAAGGTGGAGTACTTAAAGTCTCAAAGGGGGCTCTAGTTATGATGAAGGAATCTGGGAAGGAAACTTGTATAAATTAATAGGGAGCACAATTGTAAGTGTAAAGGTAAATTTGGTTGTAGCATAAGAAGAAGCTCGGCAAGGGGCATATGGTTTGGCAATTGAAGATCTTGGTGACACAAAGCAAGGCCTTGATAAACATATTTGGCAAGGTGGAAAAATTGAATTGGAAGTTTTACAAGGGGATGTGAAGTCGGAAACACCACTTGAAATTCTTTCGAGAGAATGCTCAAAATTTGGTGAAGGAAAGGCCGATGTGATTAGAGTATTGCATGCTACTTTAGTGTTAATTTTGATTATTACCATGATTATTACAAAATTTTTCATTTCACTTGTGTATTGTTTCCTTGATTGGCTTGTGTTTAGCCTGAGAAGAAATTGTTGGAATGAAGTGAAATGGGTACTTCGAAATTTAAGAAGTATTTTCAAGGCTTTGAGCATAGAGAGGGCTTCGTGGAAGAGACTTATGCAAGGGATCTCGGTGATATGAGATCCCGGTTTGTGCTTGTAGGTGTGTAGAAAATTATTCACCTAGAGCATGTGTGAAGGCAAGATGGCCTCAAGAACTCAAGGATGAGAGTGTTGAAGAAGGTGGAGTTTGCATGATAAGCACAAGCATGAAGGAAGATGAGTAAGGCATGCTCATGCTCATGGAGGTTATTGGGCTAGAGAGCTATCAGAATTGACTAAGTTCTTCAAAAAAGGAATAATCGAATATATTTGTCAAGGCAAGGGTGTGACTTTGCAGCAAGGTGAAGATTGTTGAGATGGTGATGCAAATCACCCCATTTGTTGAGGGGTATTTTCGTCGTAGAAAATAGGTCTTTTATGGAGGCCCATAAAAGTGTATTTTGAGAGAGAAAAAAGGAAAAGTGTAGGGAAGTTTGAGGGATTGAAATAGGGGTTTTTGCACAAACCCTAGCACCATTGTGGCCTCGTATCGGGCCGGTTTTCATCCCCATTTCTTCCAAAGAATGTCTTGATAGACTGTGACGAAGAGATGAGTCGATTGATAGTGGTATTGTGGTGGGAAATATCTATTTGAGCTTTCTTTGATATTGTATGAGATAATCTCCACAAAACCTCAAACTTGAAAATTTCTTTCATTGTTAGTGAATGCATCATTGTCCCTTGCTCGTGGATGTAGCCCATTTGGGTGAACCACGTAAATGTGTGTGTGCCTTCTATTTTTTATTTGTATTGTGGTTCTGTGATTTTTCATTTTACTTATTTTTCTTGTTTCTATATTTTTTTCTAAGAGTAATGATCCTATGGGACCATGCCACACACAATGGCATAGGACACTAATGTATCATCATTGGATTCTAATCCAAATCTCGAGGTAAGATCTAAATGTCACCACAAAATAGGGAAAAAACCCCCTCCTCTCTCTTCCTTTATTCGTACTTTCTCTGGCTTCATACTCTCCACCCTCATTCGTACTCTCCAGGTAGGATTTAACTTTTTTCCCACTATCCCCCCTCATTGTACTCTCTCTCTTACCTCGACTGGAACAGGGAGAAAACCCTCTTTCTCTCTCTCTCCCCCTTCGTCCTCTTCCCTCTCGCCTCCAAATTTCATGGCAACATAAAACCATTTTTAGGGAGTATAATCTCTGCGACCTATTTGCTTCAATGCCTCAGCCTCTCGATAGAGCTTAATGGGTTTGGCTCCAGGGGGTCCATGGTTCATGCCCTCGATGCACAGTTGCTTCATGGGTTGATCCCTAGGTCCAAGAAATGCCAAGGGGTTGATCCCTTGATGTGCTTGTGGATGAGAATAAAGAAATTAGATAGATTGTTATTGATGTTGTTGCAATTGAAGGTGGGCTTGGGCTTGGATTTGAAGTGGATTCGAGGTGGGCTGGATGTGGGCTCTGTGCTGATGAGCCATCGACCAGAGAGTGGGCTCAGGCACGAAGACACCCTGTGAAACCATGGGAGAAGAGGAAGAGGGGGTTGAGAGGCTAGAGGATGGGATGGATATACAGATGATGGGTTATGTGAGAATTAGGAAACTGTAGATGGAGAAGAGGGGTATGTAGATTTGTAGAGTGAGGGATAGGAAGAGAGAAGAAGATGGGGGGTTAGAAAGGCGAGATGATTCCTCTTGAGGAGGTGAAGCACCTTTGATAAAAGGTTCCAGTGCTTTCATCAACTCCTTGAAAGGATTTGAGAATAGGGGCATGCTACTATTTGTGCCCACAACTGCTGTCATGATTGCATTTATAAAAAGACAAATGTAGAGAGAGAAAGAGAAGAAGAAAAGGAATCTGCGTGTTTCTTATAAAACTAGAACATAGGGCTTCAAGGGAGAGATCTAAGGGGAGAGAGACAGATAGGAAAAAAAAATGAAGAGGTAGTTGGAAAGGGAAAACACCAGATTTTGCTTTACACGACAAGGAGCAGAGAGTACTTGGCATAAAGAAAAAAACGCCCAAGTGACACACTCTCTCCAAACTTGTTCTTGAAAGCAGATCAACCAGCACGAAAGCCCTAATTAAAACACGTCTCTTGGCAACCACCAGCAAGCATGTACAAAAGAGATAGAAAACAATAAAAATGCGAAAAAAGAGAGGATGCCCTGAAGAGTAAGAGAGAGTACGAATGTATGGGGGGAGGAGGAAGGGAGAGAGAGAGAGGGTCCTTTTTTCGACCAGGGGTAAGAGAGAGAGTACGAATGAGGGGGGATAGAGGTACAAAAATTAAACCCTACTTGGAGAGTATGAATGAGGGTGCGAATGAAGAGAGAGAGAGTGGGTTTTCCCCTAGTTTGCCGGTGACATTTAAATCTTACCTAGAGATTTGGATCAGAATCCAACGGTGATATATTAGGGACTTATGCTATTGTGTGTGGCAGGGTCCCATAGGATCATTCCTCTTTTCTTAAATATATTTCCTACATTATTGCTCTTGGGTATTTTGTATGGATGTTGGAATCATTGTTGTGGGGTGCTCTCCCCTAGTTGGCAAATCGGGATAATCCAAATCCCTACTTGATGTGGTGAGCACCCCACAACAATGATTCCAACATCCAAACAAAATACCCAAGAATAATAATGTGTGCAATATATTTGAGGAAAATATAGAAACAAGTAACATGAGAAATCACCAAACCACAACATAAGTAAAAAATAGAAGGCACACACACATTTACGTAGACCCAAAATAGGCTACATCCATGGGCAAGGTGCAATGATGCATTCACTATCAATAGAAGAAATTTACAAATTTGGGGTTCTATAGAAATTGCTTCATACAATAGCAAGGAAAACTTAAATAGATATTTCTCACCACGATACCACCATCAATTGACTCTTCTCTTCATCACCGTCGACCAAGACCGTCGCTGCAAAGAAATGCCGATGAAAAATCTGCCCAATATGAGGCCACAATGGTTCTAGGGTTTGTGCAAAAACTCTAATTTCAATCCCCCAAACTTCTCTACAATTTTCCGTTTGTGTATATCTCCAAATACACTTTTATGGTCCTCCATAAAAGACCTATTTTTTGCGATGAGAATACCCCTCAACAAATGGGGTGATTTGCATCACCATCCCAACAAAATGGACCGAAAGAAAACGAACAATTTCTCAAACCGAAGGTTCTTTATCAAAAGCTTTTTTATTTTTAGTTTTTGAAATTCAAAAATCAAAATAATGTTTCTCTATAAAAAGGATTGTTGTCTTTTTGGCAGGCTGAGATTGTTGAAGAAGAGGATGATGAGTGGCCTTTGGACACTGATGTGGGGTGGGGGATCAGAGCCTCTGATTATTTTGACAAGTATCAAATAAAGAATGTGGTGGGTGAAGACGGGGAAAAAATTGATTGGGAAGGTGAGATGGAAGATAGTTGGGTGAAAGAGATCAATTGCTTAGAGTGGGAGAGCTTTGCATTTCATCCAAGTCCACTGATTGTGCTCGTATTTGAGCGATACAACAGGTATGTTTTTTGTATTTGGCAAAGAAAAAGAAATGGGTTATCCCTATTCTTTTTGTAATTAGTTGGGTTTCCTTTTACCTTTTCTTTATCAAGGTTTTATTGGATTGATGTGGTAACAACATCGACTTCCCTGAAGACTTGAGAAATCTAGCATGTATGTGGTTCTTGTTTGGAGAGAAACTGGATTTTTGGTAGAGTATAACTGGTGTACTTATTGTCTATCTAATATTCTAGTCTATTTACTCCTAGTTGCTTGTTTCATTTAAAATTTATCATGTTCAATCTTTTTGGCCGATTCAAATATTCTGTTTTCAGAGCATGATACATATTATTTATTTAAAATCTTGGGGTATACAAAGGACTCTGAATTCATTAGATCTTACCCTTCGGTGTTTTTGCTTTGGATTTTAGTTTTATTGTTGGATAAGAGGGTCATGTGTTCTTCGATCTAAGGGCTGAGACGTGAATCATGCAAGCCAGAATTTTTTTTCTTCTTATTTAATGGCCATTACTGGCACAAAAAAATCAACAAAAGGGGTTATATGGTGAAACTGATAGGAAGCTTTTGCCATTTCTGCTATGTATTTTTCAATTGTTATTTCGAGGGAGGGCAGAAGGGTGTGCCTGATAACTTGCGCATTTGAATCATTGCTTGAGTGATGAGCTGGTGGTTATATTTACAGTTCTTCATAAAAACTTTTAATGACTTCAGATAGATATTTTTGAGATAATCAATGGCATTTTAGTAAATTCTTTGCATTGAATAAGAAGCATAAGGGTGAGAACTTCTGTATAAAGGTACCTGCTCGAGAAACTTAAAACATGAAAGATTTTTTGAGATGTTTGGCAAGGTAGAATTAGAGGACTGACAGTGCCCAATATGTGCTTTTTAAAATTGTGTGTGCATGCTCGTGGAGTTGTTATTACCTTAACTAGAGAAGCATGAGGATGAGGACTTCTGTATGAGAGAACTTGCAAATGAAGCTTAAAAACGTGGAAACTGTAGAGATGCTTGCAATGTAATATTGATGTTGCCCAATATGTGCTTTCTAGATGAGATGTGCATGTGTGTGTGTTTATTGTGTATGCGTGGGCTCGCGCGTGTGCATGTTTACATATAGGTGTGGGCTTTTATGAGAATGTTATTACATTAACTTGGATAGCTTCAATATTTTCATTTCATAACTTCATTTTAGCCTTTTCCCAATTAGTTGGGGTCGGTTGGATAGCTTCAATATAAGTTGAACATTTAAATCTCTTGAGTTCTTTTCTTTCTCCATCTATTTTTTTGCATATATTTTAGTCAAATTTCTGATCTTAAAATGTTGTTTGTAGGGCAGCTGATAATTGGAAAGTTTTGAAGGAGCTGGAGAAGGCATTCCTGGTCTATTGGAAATCGAAAGATAAATTGCCTCCTCGGGTATGATGCTATATGGCACCCAATATAAGTTCCAAGCATCTTCCATCTTCTCTAGATGTCTACTAAGTTCGCAAGATCTCACCCATTTAGTTGCTTATCTCAAATATAAGTGAGAAATACATGCTGTACACCGCATGGTGCAGCTTAAACAGAGTAAAACCATTTATGGCAATGGCCCAGAGTCCTTTCCAAATAATTAAATTACCTTCTAGGTCCAACTTATGGTTGTCTAAACATCCTGGATCAATCGACGTCTAAATTGGTCTTTGTAATCATGGCATGGTTTTCTATGATAAGTTCTAGGATTACTTTGGAATGCCCAAAAACATCTGTGGTAATAGATTAGCCCAAGAAAGAACCATTATAAATCTGAAATTCCACCAATAACCTATATAAAACATTAAATAATGTTAGCCCCACCATGTAGCTACTTGTGTGGTGTGTAAAAATGGATACCCAAAATATGCATGTAAAAGGTGATTGCTAACCACAGATTTTTTTTTTTTGGGGGTAAGTAACTACACAGATTACCTAAGTAAAATAAATTAATGATAATTTAGTATGGTTTTATATGTATCCTTTGTTACTTATTTATAATTTGTTACATGGTAAATTTCAAAAAAATACTTGCAATGAATATTAAAATACGTATATACTGATCAAATAAATAACCAATATATACTTATAAAAATAATATATGTATAACCATAAAGATACCCCTAAGCTTTTAAATAACGAATGGCTTGCTGCAGGGGGCCATGCCTCCATGCCTCGAGCAATACTGTTTGATTCGCTTCTGTTCGGCTGAAACAGCTGTAATCTTCAGCTTAATGCCATAAAGTGTAGCTAAGCGAATCACTTCACTGTTAAATTGAACTTTATGAGTGTAATATAAAATATAAAATTTTGCTACCCATCAAATATAAAATTTGCAAAAATATTTATGTAGTATTAGAACTTTATGAGTGTAACGTTTTTATCAAAAAAAATTAGAAGTGCCCTGTTGTGCATTTTTTTCTTTCTGAAACTAGACCCAAAGACTTCCTCCCCACTGTGTCGAGGAGCCAAAGTGCTTCTATTTTTTGCCAAAATGAAGAGCCCTACAAAGCAAATCTGATAATATTGCCCACTACTAAGACTGTATCATCCTTTGATAGAGCAGAATGGCGGGCCAGGATTTGTGTAGCCGATCCCAAATTGTTGGGAAAAGGCTGTGATGATGATGATGACCAAGCCTATATAATACTGCCCCTTGGTGATGTGGTACAACTACTGATGGTCTAAGTCCCATGGCATAGGTTTCCATCATCATGCATTGCGCCTAGTCTTTGGAAGTACATAGCAATGATTATCAGAACACATTCTCAAAAAAAAAAACAGAAAAAGAAAAAAGGACAATGACTATTAGAACAAATGTGGATTGTGGAGTTGAAATTTGACTTTGCTTTGCCTTGATTGGTCATGCTGTTAAAATTGCAAAAGTACGTCCCAAGTTTGAATCCCACATTGGACAATATAAAAAAAGGAAGAAAAAGAAAAAGATAAAAAAGGGAAACCTGCAACCAACCAAAAAATCGTATTCATTCTTTCTTGTATTGGATCAGTGTTTAGGATCTTATGGCCTATTATATATATCTATCCACCCATTCATGTCTGTTATCCCTCTTTTGTTTATAAGAAAATTATTCTATCATTTATTTTGTGCTACACAAGGTATTGGGACTCGACTAAGCCAGGTTACCTTGGCCAGAGTCCGAGTAACTCGCCCAAGTTCATCCCTATTTAAAAAATAAAAAAAATGATAAAAATATAGACACCAAACATAAAGTGGCAGGTTGGTTAGGGTCGCCTCACTTTGTATTCCCCTTTATAGTAGGTCTTAGGTTTGATTCCCACCAAGGTGCTTTTCCGAACTGCCCTTTTTTAACTCCTTAAAGAAAGCTGGGTTTAAAAAATATATATGAGTGTTGTGCTTGCTGGGGTTTCGACAACCCATCACACTGCTGGGTGAACAGGAATGCTACCAAGAATCCATTTGTTCGCTTTTGAAGTAGTATTGATATTTTAATGTACATAGGCAATACTTGCGGGGGTGTACAACTCACTCGGGCGAAACTTGGCTTGTCCACAGGGCAAGGCCAAGTAACTCGGCAGAGTCGGAGTGGACTTGGCCGAGTCCAGGTACACTGGTGCCACATATTCTGCTTCATGTGAGTATATATTTTGGAAAATAGAGCTATTTAATGAGCATGATCTGATTGCCTACTGAACAATTGTTCGTATTATTTCTTTGGTTACAGACTGTTAAGATTGATATCAACATCGAAAGGGATCTAGCATATGCTCTTAAAGTGAGGGAGTGCCCGCAACTGCTATTTTTACGAGGAAACAAACTATTACATCGGGAAAAAGGTGTGCAAAGATTTGATCACTTTTTTTTTTGTAGAGAACCCAAACGGAAGCCTCAGTAAATACGGTTAGTTTATGTGAATATTTGGTGGAGAGTGTTCCCCAGACCGTAAGATATATATTCAATTGTAGTTGATTAAAAATATTTTTTATTAAAATTTTTTGATTGTAAATTAACTATTAGCTATCATGAGTTTTCCGATTATTATGTTGGTTGGAGAAAGAAACTAACCCATCTTCGGATTGATAGAATCTTTCACGCTGTTACTAATAAAAAGTTGTTTGATTTGGCTGAATGAGATTTGCTTGACATATACTTTGAGCATTTCTTTTTCTTAATATTTCAAACTATACTTATTAGAAGAAATAACAAATTAAATTATTGATGTGTGCATTTTTGTGTGTTTTTCGCAGAAATCCGGACTGCTGATCAGTTGGTACAAATGATTGCACACTTTTACTACAATGCGAAGAAGCCATCCTGGCTAAGTGATGCACAGCTTGCTTCATAGGTAACTACAGGCTAAAATTAATAGAAGAGTATTAAAACTCAGCTCTTTGAGTTGTGGTGCTTTCTGTTAATAGAACAGTGGAAGCCATGTTGGAGTTTCTAAAAAATCCTGAAAAGAGGCTCCATTTCCATGTGATGGGGCTTAGAGCTTCTAGTCTTATGATCTATGCGTCCGAAGCTGCATTTGTTACTGTACAAGGAAAAAGGAAGAAAAATGAACACCAACTAAAAGAGTTCCTTATGGGAAAGCATCGAAGAGCAAAAATGTTCCTGTATTTTGTGTACTGTGCTGGAGTTGGCACTCTGATCATGGGAGGGAGTGTTACCCAATGGGCTCTTTTGTTGTGAGCAGCAGTTATTGAAAAGTGGTGTTCATGGTAATCATCTGGGGTGGTAGTTTCTTGCGGTGTTTAAAAAATCACCAAGCCAACTTGGAATTGCCTGGACACCCAAAACTGTGGAATTGCCCCAGGTTGTCTGAAACTAGGGGTTCACTATAGTGATCCACCATGATCCGCCTAGTTCACTGTTGGCACTCAGGCGAAGCCCTAATCCCGGGGCGATTTTTCTTTTGCTTTTCATAATTTTTTTTCAATTGTTTCACCGAGTGATTCCCAAGGGTGGAATCAGCGAATTGGATTGCTAGGCATCCAAGTCAACCTCCAATTTATACTGGTTTCTTTAGGGGTGTTAACAGTTTGGGTCAGGTCCAGGCCGACCCCTACCCGACCGGTCTTAGTTGGACGTGGACCCTACCCAAACTCAGGTTGGGTCATGTATGAATCTACATCAAAAAATATAAAAATACTTATATAATAGTGTACATATTTTGTAATACATGTTTAGATTATTAGAAAGGGCGTTTTTGTGACCCTACTCAGTTTGACGATCCACCCTATGTGCTGAGGAGATGAAGCGTTTGTTAGCCTAAGGAGCATGACATGCTTAGCAGCCAGACAAAAAGCTCATCTCTAGTGTCCATTAGGGCTGCCAATCGGGCTGGGATGACCTTTGGCACTGATTTTTGGGCCAGGCTTGGGCAGCCATATTGGGTCTGCGGGCTCGGCTCAAGCTTGCCCCAAGTTGGAAAGTTCAGGCTCTGCTTGGCTACAAAAATTTGAGTCAGACTCATCTCAAAAGCCCATGGGCCAATCCATCCTCAGTTCAAGCCCATGGACAGTCTAGATATTGAGTTGCAAGATGTGCTATTTTTAGAACTCGAAATCCTATTTTTTTGGATGCTACATGTTCGAACTTGAATGCAAACGTGTTTTAAATTCTTCCCTATTTTTTTATTTTTATTTTTTTTTATTTTTATTTTTTCTTTTTTTGATAATTCAGGAATTAAGGTTAGGACCTAGTTCCAACCTTGAACAACCATATTTTTCCTTTTTTCTTTTTTCTTTTTGGTTTTTTAGCAGTAGGAATTCAACTTAGGATGTTCCATATACTCAAACACATGATACACAAGTTTTATTTCTTTTTTTCTTTTTTTTTAATATATATATATATATATATCATTTAAAACAGAAATTCTTTTTTGGAAAAGTGTAGTAGGACCAACTAATAGAGTTGTTATTTCCTTATTAAGTTTGCTTGTTTTCAGGGACTCTTATACAAATGCGTGTGATACTTCAAATACACAAGGCGTTCCTCATTTCTTAATGCATAATATAGTTATCAATACCATATTAAGATCGAAACAAACTGGTGGTTCAACCGCTCGAACTGTTGATTGCTGCTGTCTTGGCCGTCTTGTTCACGGTAAAAGGTAGGTTTATTTGAAAACTGTTTTAACAATTTTTTGTTTGAAAACTGTTCAAAATTAATGTTTAATAATTTTTGGTCGGTTGAACCAACCAATTTAACCTGTTTGATAAGTTAAATGTTTAAAAATATACTATTTAAAACTTTATTTCTTAATTCTTCAGTCTAAGCCTCTAAAGATCATCATATCTCTTTTTGCTATCACAAAGGCACTAAATTTTATTAATTAAAAGAAGAATACAATAAACTCAAACAAACATTAGAAACTTGAATCGACTCCAATTCCACCCCCTCTTTGTTATTCTATCAGCAATATCATTAGACTCTTTATAAATATCCAAATATCCATGAATGAAACTTCAAATATCCTTGAATGAAACTTCAGACGCTGACAAAGCTCTAAAACTCTCATTGCCTTCTTACATGGCAGTCTTATAATATGATTACTCCAATTAATGGCATTCAACAAATCCCCTTCAATGAGGTATGGTTGCACCACTTGTCTTTGCACCAACATGCGCAATCCTTGTGCAGGAGCCTCCATCTCTGCTTCATTAGCAGTCAAACTTCCACATGGACCTGTATAACAAAAAATGATCTCATGAACATAATTCTTTATAATTCTTCCAAAGCTTGCTGCCCCAGATTGTCAAAGGAACATCCATCAAAATTAAGTTTCACACAAGTATCTAAAGATAGTTCTATCTCCCTTTTGGTTTGACCTTGACTATTATTTGTGGTACAAAATCTTGAATCTAAACCACAAGTGTATTTAATGCCTTTTACAATATATTTGAGAACAAAGTCTTTTACTATTATTTGTGGTACAAAATCTTGAGTCTAAACCACAAATGTATTTAATGCCCTTTACAATATATTTGAGAACAAAGTCTTTTTGGATCTTCATTGTAAAAAAAAAAAAAAAAAAAAGAAAAAGAAAAGAAACCTATCTGGATCTTTTGATAAAAACCATTAACAGTAGTTTTGGGTTTTAGAGAGACAAAGAGAGGACGTTAGATATAGAACGAGAGGTTAGCGAGAGATTGATGCAGTGGGGTAGGTTAGAAAGATGGAGGTTAGAGAAAGATGAGAAAGAGAGAGAGAGAGTGGATGATGCCTTAGAAGCTCATTTGGAATCTGAAAATGCCTTGCCTATTTACGTGGATTAGTAATTTAAAACCCAGATTGGTGGGGTGGGTCATTCACGTACATATTTGGATTGGTGATCTGGATCAAGTTTGAGTCGGATTGAACTAGTAATCTAAAAAACATTAAAAAAATAAATGAAATAAAATAAAAATAAAAGTAGGGATTTATTTATGGGTTGGGGATTTAGAGAGGACTTAAGAAAATATTAAATACACAAAACAAAAGAGATTGTCTACAAAGAGACTATTTATCTTAGATGTTACAATCATTCCTATTAATTAGATGTCAAATTGGATGGCTTGAGGTGAGTCACATAGTCCGAAATTTTTATTTTGGAATTTTATATCTATTCAATGACACTCCTACAACTACCTATTTTGAAATTTAAAGGGCAATAATGATTATGACATCCATGCACCAAAGATAAGTGGTTTCTTTGTAGACAATCCCTAATATATATATATATATAATGCTCATATGAGATCCTCTCACACCCATGTGTATAGGATTCCAAAGGATCACCATTAAATTTGGTACAGATATCTAAAACAATTATCACATGGTGTGAGACTTGAATTTTCTAAAGATATGTGCCAAATTTAATGGTGATCATTTGGGGTCCTACACACATAGGTGTGGGAGGGTATATATATAGGGTGCGGTTTGTATAGAGCCTAGGCTCTAAACAATCAAATTAGAGCCTACCTTCAAATAGTGTTAAGAAATATGGTTTTAATATTGGAAATATATGTGATAGCTTTAAAATATATTTTCATATTTATTTATAAACTTTAAAACTTTAAAAATAGTATAGAACGACAGATCTATGTAAACTTGAAAATCTTAAAAATTGACGATCCAAAAATGTGTTACAAAATACACTATTTCCAAAACTTGAAATCCATATTTTTTCTCTTGTCCACGCATATCGATGTCGAGATAATCGATTTGAAGATATTTGAGAATCAAAACAACCTCTTCTAGCAAAATTTTTGATGTAAGCTCAAATTTGATAGTTTGAAGCTTCGGTTCTATATAAAC